TACAATAAATAAAATAAATCTCCCGAACTAAACATGCGTTTAGTTCAGGAGACTCACCACATTTGTCAGCTTGACACTGACATTTACATAACAGATGTCACATTCGCCTAATAAAATAACCTCAACAAGCGCACGCGACGACGCGGTAGGTACCGGTAAGCGGTTTTGCAGGCGGAATTCTTATCTTCACACCAAAATGCAAATCTGCAAAAATGCAATATCAACGCATCATTACTTAAAATGAATTTTAACATGTACAGTCAAAGGTCAAAAGTCCACTGTGAGTGACGGCAATGCGTATGTAATTTCATATTAATGAGCATAAAAACGCGTGCGTACGCGGATAAAAATATGAATGTGCATGTGTGTATAAGCGCTGCAGCGCAACCGATAGTAGTCTTACGGTGGCAGTGGACTTTTGACCTTTTGTCGTACATAAAGTTGCCAAAACTATTTCTATATAAATAAATAAAATAAATTTATATATAACTATAGAGAACTCCTCACGCCACTCTTCGACTTTATACGTGTGTCATAGTTTTATATTTTTAATAAGCCATTATTTTTCTTTGATAATAACTTTTCCCTTTCTGAAATGGACAGGCGCCTTGAGGCGTAATTCAGTTCCCTCTTTGTGTAATGAACTTAAAGAGTACATAAAGAAATAATTAATTAACACTCGATTTTGCTCCTTTATAAACACTGCGTGACCTAGATGAAAAGGATTTTATTTTTATATGTTCAAACAAGATGTTACAAAAACGGTATATTATATATATTACCGGTTTAGATCACCCCAAATGATATGGCAAAGGTTTATTTATTAAACCATCGCATCGCAGAAACCAGATTTTTAATTAAAATTACGAAAACATAAACATAGGTATCGCCCGAACTAATTCATCTGTTCTGCGTCAGTCAACTATTTAATTGCACTTCAGCAAACTATTCACACGTTTCTTATTATCGGATAAGAAACGTAATAAATCAAACTGCAGCTAAACCTCAGTGTCGTAGATCTTTATCAGTCATACTCTTTGGGACTTAAGAATAACTATTCTATAAGGTTACATAAACACACTGTAGTTGTCATATTTTTTTTATTATATTTTATTTTAGGGGCTTTTAACCAATAGACTACGTCGTAACCCAAACTTATCTATCTAACAATTGCTTTTATAATGTTATTGAACAAGAAAACATATATAAGCTACATAATTTAAATATGTGTAATAATTACACTAAATTTAAACTAATATTAATATTATACATATAAATAACAAAAAACTAAATTATTTACAACTTAAAATTACCTTAAAAAACAATGTCAGCTTAACGCATTTTAAAATATCATTTATAAAATTTATTTAAAAACATTTTAATTTAGCGAAAAATTGATAGTTGTCATATTTAAAACCGCCATGGAACTTTTGTTACCTGTATCCCTGTATGTGACCTATAACCGTCATAAACATCAACATTTAATAAAACCCCTGCACCTGACTCATTCGTGACGTCACATGAAACAGACGATAAAATAAAAATAAGTTTAATATTCACTTTCATTTTTGATCGGTTACATAACCCTTTATACGGGCCGATTGAGTGACTGTAGTTCGATCGTGTCTACCACAATTGCAAAGCAGAATTGGGATTCAAATTCTGATTGTAGTGTTTTTAAGTGTGGGAGAGCCATGCTTCGCCCCGAATGGGCCGGCTCGACCGGAGTGATACCACGGCCTCACAGAAAACTGACGTGAAGCAACGCTTGTGTTGTGTTTCGTCGTGTGAGTGATGTTACCCAATTACCCTCCCCTTTCCCAATCTCCCCAATCCCTGAATCCCCAACGATCCTCAAACTCCTAATCCCCAAAAAGCCGGTAACGCATTTGTAACGCCTCTGGTGTTCCAGTCCATGGGCGACGCCGATTGCTTACCATCAGGTGATCCGTCTGCTCGTTTACCGGCTTATGATATAACAAAAAAGACTTGACATGACCATTGTAATTATTTCATTTATAGGTACCTGGGGCAGATATTAGGAAGTGTTACTTCAATAGTTTAATGAACAAAGCGTTGTACTTGACACTGCACAACGTTTCATTTTGTCGTCCTTTTGTAGATACAAAACTGTTATTTATCTAACTATTGGCTCAGATCTCTTCAATCATCGTTTCCATTGTAGCCTGATGACTAAAGATAAGATACCCGTTACAATTAAGGATTTCAAAGATACTTAACGATCTAGATATCCTCAATGGAGTTAATGATTGATGCTTCATACCTATAAATGTTTGTAGTAAATAATATTTTTCATCTTTTAATAACTACAACTAAATAATTATGAATAAGCGTATGTCTGAAGCTTAGTTACTTGTAAGGAAACTGAAGCTATCTGAAACCGATTATGTTATGAACAAATTGTAATTTCCAAAAATAGCTTACTAGATCCGAAATTCGTCCTGTGAACTTAGCACCTTGATAAGTTCGGGTTATTAACCCAGTCACAAATGGTATACTTTCACTGCTTCAATGTTTGGGGTATAGCTAAACAGGGTCTAAAGAACCCGACCAAATCATTACTCCTAGATTTATAAAACGCTATTCAGATCAAAACTATAGTGTGATCTTTGTCAGGGAAAAGAATGTGCACTTAAAACAGTTACAATTGTGTTTTATACAAGACACGACACGACTATCAAAATGGGTCATCATTGCGAGGATCACATGATCTATTTCAAACTGTATCAGTACATATACGGTGTCTCGATGCTCTACTAAGTACTATTTTCCGATAGATTAGAGCGCATAGCGTGTAAGGAAGGAAGATGAAGAAAGAATAAACGTTTATTTGGGAATTGACACACAAAATAAAGATAATAAAAAATAAAAATACAGATAACTTAAATGAGTAAAGAAAAGACCAAGAAACATCGAAGTATAACAAAATTATGTACAATACGATAAACACGATAAACAGACATTTCATATACAAAAAAAAAACAAGATATAATAATAATATTAAAATGCGCGTGCCCATGCCAAAAAGGCACCTCAGCATATAGTTGAGCGTTCCTGCCCAACGCTGGTTTTCAGTAGTGTAGGTACGGTTCTTGTCAAAAAATACACCACTGTCATTTGTTTCGTACACATACATAATCCTACGTTCACACACGAGCTCAGTGCCTTTAGCCAAACGCCACTTTAGCGCTTGTCTACAGAGAGAGTAGAAAACTAAATGTATGGGGGTGACACTGACAAGTGTCAAAATTTACGTCAATTCCATTTAATTTGGTTTTCTATTCTACATGTAGACAAGCGCTAAATGTCATTTGGCTACAGCTGCTGGATCTTATCTCGTCGAGTACCGTCATTATAGACACAATTATAGAACAATAGGTTGCGGTCACCGGTGACCGCTTGGTGTTTGACAGTTTAAATAGATTGTGATATTCAAGCATTGTCAGGTCACAATGATAACCTCATTTTGAAGTCTCTTAAATACAGGTCCATCTTCAGCCTATGAGTCATTATTGTAAACAACCCCTGCATCCATGTTATTTCTGCTTTGTAAGAGTTAATTGTTATGTAAAATGTTTAAGGTTTTACGAACCAAATGGTTTTACAAACAAACAGCTATTAATCACTCTTTTTCTTACTAGATAATACTAAACAGACTAACTGTTGCCCGCGACTTCGTCCGCGTAGAATATGAATTTTAGTATATAACATCTTTCTTCTTTCAATTTTCCAAAATAAAAGTAGTTATTGTTACTCCTTAGTACATTAGCTTCTTGCTAATAAAAGTCTTGCAAAATCGGCCCATCCATTCCAGAGATTAGCCAGTACAAACAAACAGATAGACAGACAAAAATTGTAAAAATGTTATTTTGGTATATGCATTGTACCTATGTATATTCATACATGTAGTAAAAAGCGGTCAGTTTATTATTACAAACAGACACTCTAATTTTTATGTCTGTAGGTATGTTTAGATATCTTCTTATGAACGTCAAAGCACTATGTCATAAATGTTTAGTATCCACGAGCTAAATAATTTCATGAAACTAATTAGCTTTCTTAACAAAAGAGGTAATTATACAACGAATGCTAAAGTAACAAAACGTTTGTTATAATTCGTAAACAACAGGTTTCGTAAACAAAGCAATATTGTAACTTCAGATGTTAACGATAGATAATATAATTAAGATTAACGATAGATAATAACTACACACTTAAGAGGTGATTGATGTTTCGTTGTATGTATGTAACTATATTTTTTAAACTTTCTGACAACACTAGGTAAGCAAACCCTGTCACTAGACTAGCTTTTACCTCGTGAGTAGTTTTTTTTTCTCCAGAACTTATTATTCACACATATTGTCGCCGTATTTGCGAATCATTATTTCAACTAGACTAGTTCTTCAAAACTGAAAAGCATTGGTTTTAATTAAACCATAACTTGGTACTTTTAAAACGTCAACAAATAAATAATAGTCTGTTAGTCTGCCCGTCAGTGAAGCTAAGTGCTCGTTACAAAATGCGCTCAAAATCCTCTTCCAAATGTGACCAATAATTTTAATTGCCTTGTTAATCCTGTGGTCGCAGCCTACAATTCCTGGCTCAGACAAAGCAAACATCGAATGTCTGTGAGGCGGTAGGGAGTGTCAGACTCTTTCTGACTAAAATCCACCCCGTTCCTTCTCCTGCGCTTAGAGCCGGAGCCCCGCGGTAACCCGTTAGTTTAGACCTATGTCTAACCTAACGGGTTACCGCGGGGCTCGAGATGGCATGGTAGTGGTGGAATAGGCTAACCACTATCTAGGACTCAGATCTGGTAAAAAGTGTAAGCTAAATTCAAAATTTGCGGGTCTGTTTATATGTCTAACCCTTGAGTATCAGAAGGACTGTCCCATCCGGTGCCTAAATCGAGTGACCATACGTTTAAGTTAAATAGGTATTTTATAAAAGATTAAATTAACGCTGTCGTTGTTTTCCAGCAATCCTGTCGCTGTACCTGCGAGACAAGCTGGGATACAGCGACAATGGGGCCACAGTCATCTACCACGTGTTCACTATGTTCGCGTACTTCTTTCCCCTCATTGGCGCCATGATAGCCGACGGCTGGCTGGGGAGATTTAGGCAAGTATTGTACATCTATATAATTTAACGAACGATGGTCTTAATATTTTCAATTAGCTTGAGGATATGAACAACAACACATGACCAAAATGATTGGTTTTTACAATTTTAATCGTTTTTGTCTACACTCAACATCAGCCTTGAGCGATTACAACTATTATTACATGAAATAAACATTTAATTCCTTATTTTAATGAAAATAGAACTGTTTTTTACCATCATCTGTCAGCGTTTTTCGAGAGTATTCCGGATTTCGGCGCATTTCGGAAAGACGAAAAGACTTAAAGGTGTAAGACCCTGTATAGTCTTTGCGTCTTTCTGATATTGCTATTTTTTCAATGTAAACAAATAGGTATCGTAGGTGACAACGTGTCTGCTTCAATTTGATAATGCCACAGTGTCGAGTAGATCTTTTAACAAAAGTCAAATGTTTAACATTATTTGAACCTCAAGTACTTACCTAAGTACAATATTGACTGCACGGTTGGTGCGGTGGCTGGGCAACCGGCTGCCGTGCAACGTGTCGCGGGTTCGATTCCCGCACGGGACAACACTTTGTGTGATCCACAAAGTGTTGTTTCGGGTCTGGGTGTCATTGTGTATGTGTACTTGTATGTTTGTAAACGCACCCACGACACAGGAGAAAATCCTAGTGTGGGACAACGTTTTTTAAAAAAAAAAAAAAAAATATAAGTTGGGTTTTACAATATACAAAGTGAATGCTCTAATTTTACTGTTCGTGTTGATAATGGTCATTGATGATCGCAGTTATTAAAATAGATTCAAGTCGAATAAATAAGATCTACAGTTTTTTTGGAATCAAGCAACACTTCTACGGGGAATTCCAAGTTTTGTAAAACCAGCGCTTACGACACTCGACTGACTTAGTAAGGTTTTAAGTAAGAACTGGACTAACAACATTCACTCATAATTCTACCTTAGATAAAATAAAGATGTAAAAATGTATATGCTTAAATACTTACTAGTAGTTAAGTAATCTAAATCAGAGGTCGTTTGACTTTCAAACATTAGTAGTTTAAATAACTGATAATTTGCCTGTGTCACACGTCTCCTTTGACTTCTGTGTTGACAAATTGTGTTCTAAAGCCGGCTAAAAACATACTAGAAGTTATGCAGCGACATCAGACTACGACATCTGAATTTCGGTTACCTACATAAAAACATGCAAGATCTTTCTTTTACATATATAGAACAACTAACTTTAACCCGCGGCTTCGCTCGCGTCACAAAAGGATAAAAAGCCAATGTGACATATACCAATACACACAGCGCCATCGATACCAATACTTTTGTTTTCCCTCGGGAATATCAATTTTTTCCGGGATAAAAAGTACCCTATTATTTAATCCGGACTTCTAACTACACATCTGCAAAAATTCAAAGCAATTGGTTTAGTAGTTATGGCGTGAAAGCAGAACAAACAAACAAACTCACTTTCCGATTTATAATATAAGTAAGGATTATATGGGTACATTATATTTTAAAAATGGTATGTTTTCTTATTTTATAAACTACAACCAGTAGTTACAAAAACGGTCTCCGTTGCTTAAGGGCTACTGTCCACGTTGCGTCATTTGACGAAGGTACGCATCCTTCAAATGATGAAAGCGTGCGTATGCCGTGCAATTACGTGGACAGTAGCTCTAAGTGTACTTGTATCACCAAAGACACGAGCACGTAACCAAACTTATAGATTCTGGATATTGTTTATTTGATTCATGGTTCTTGAGGAGCCATCCTCCCTAAAAATGACAGCGATAAATAGATTCCGTAAATGACTCATTGAATCTTTAAGTTTTTTAGTTACGTAGAGTAATAAAGATTTTTGTTGCAGGACTATATTATATTTATCGTTAGTATATGCAGCTGGAAGCACGTTGATATCAATCAGTGCAATGCCACAACTAAACCTGCCTACCATGTAAGTATCATTATTTCTGCCAGGAAAAACCTACGAATGTTTCAAAAATAAAGTAGAACTCCTTAATAAATAAACGATTTCACTTTAAAATGACACTTTAAAGTCACATAAAATGTTTATCTTTGTAACAGACGTATATTATTAGTTATATTATAGTAATAATTTATTACTATTGTGTCTCTGAAAAGTCCTCTTACTTCATACCCATACCACGTAATTTCATATCAATAAAATATTTGTATTTGCTAATGCAAAACTCATTCAAATCAATAACTGTCCCAATTGACATCGGACAATGGTTCGTTAATTTACTATGTTCATGTCATTATCACATCAATGGATTTGCCGTTCCTGCATAATTGGATTTCATTTCAATTAAATAGATGTCAGTAATAGAGCTTCGCGTGTTAAAATTGCAGTCTATTTTGCCGCATGTTTCATCGAACTCGTAAAATAAATGAATCCGTAGGTACCATTATTATGGATAAATAAAGATATAAAATAACCTAAAAAAAATCTTTTAGTGAATTATTATCATTGTGGAACTTACGTAAAGGGAGCATAAACGAATAAAAAACTAATATAGGACAGACTTTTTTTAAACAACGCTCAACCTGCCTTTTCCTTGTATTTAGCTATCTAAGCGAGACTCAGTTTTGTTTTTACATTCCATCTAGCAGCAAGCTATAGATTAAATATGTATAATTTCTTTCAGGGAATTTACCATCGTAGCTCTTCTCCTAATAGCCTTCGGTACAGGAGGCATTAAACCCTGCGTCTCCGCTTTCGGTGGAGACCAGTTCAAGTTGCCAGAACAAGAGAGATACTTGGGCTACTTCTTCTCTCTCTTTTACTTCGCCATTAATGCTGGCAGTCTCATCTCAACCTTCTTGACTCCCATCTTAAGAGCTGACGTCCACTGCTTTGGAGACAACGACTGTTATTCACTTGCCTTCGGTGTTCCAGGGATACTCATGGTCGTTTCTATTGGTAAGATCACTACAAGCTTAGATTTGTAAAATACTTAAACTTATGCTCAAGATACGGTGAAGTTAAGTAGACAGTTCCTGTAACCTGTTACTGGGGGTGTGTACTTAGTATAAAATTGTATTTTTATGTCTTATTGCCAATAAGAGGAAGAAAACTCTTTGCTAACGTCTGTCATGTGTCACGTGTTTAACGTGTTAAACTTTATTAAGTAAAAACGCGGGTTACTCACGTGAATATACTGAGAAAAGCTCTACTAGTTTCGAACCACAGAGGGGTCAGTATATTCATGTGAGTAACCCGCGTTTTACTTAATTTACTATGTCTCACGATAGTTATTATAAAAACGTGTTAAACTTTATTATTAAACTTGAGTCCAAAGTTTGTATTTTGTTCCTAAAAAAATAGGTTTAAGTATACTTTTATTACAAATATTCAATTATATCACTTACATAAACGTATTTTCACCCTTCTCTTTTTAATCTCAAGTTATTAGATTAGACCTGTCTCGTCTCGACCGTCTCGTCTCGTCTCAGAAAGTGGAAAGTTAGCTGCAGATATTGACTATTCCTTATTTGCAGTTTTCTTCGTGGCCGGTAAGAGGCTCTACATAATAAAGAAGCCCGCAGGAAATGTGCTCGGAAAAGTCTCCACTTGCATCGGCGTAAGTAATTTACATGTATTTTCTACACCAATATTATAACTACCGCACCGTGTTGAATTTTTTTTAAACGTAATGACTTTGTTCCGAGAGCAATTGCTAAGGACTGGGTTTTTTTTTATCTTTATTTACTTAAATATAAATAAATGTATTGGGGTTTTTATCCATTAAGGATATGCCAACCCCATTGTACCTTATTCTAAAGTGAGCACATGACTAAGGACTGGGTTAAGTAACCATTAGACGACTCTGAGTGCGGCGATGTAATAACTATCTCATTTAATAACCTTCTCCGTGTGGGAAGAGGCTTTGCTTAGCAGTGGGCATTATAGGTTGTTGATGATGATTATGATGATAATGAGTGCGGCGATGAGTCTGTCATCTTGAGATACGAGACAGAAACTGTAGGTCTACTCTGATTCGACGAAAAACGAAGTTTCGGACGAAACTTCGAACATTACCTACCACAATGGCATTTATTACGAACGAAAAAGGAATGAAATGAGCCAGAAATTAGTATAAGATGTACTGTTTGACATCGATATTTTCGGAACCCTACTCTAATTGTACAATCCGCACGAACGAAAATTCGAGTTTGACAGATTATTCTTCGGACGTTTAATGTCATTTCAACGAAACCAAAATAGTTATCGTTTGATTTTCGTTTGGGTTAAATTTATTGAAAAATGAAGGAAAGTAATTATAAGTCTTCGTTTTGTCACGGTTTCTTTGTGTGGGCAACACGTAGGGCACCAAAAGAACTACTTAAATGACGATATAAAATCAATGTACAGTCAGCTCAAATAGTTCGTTAACACGAACCTATATATTTTATATGTCTATGAGAGTTAGTAACATTTGGGTTAATCAAATACTTATTTGAATAACTTATGTATTGAACATAAATGTTTAATTAGTAATGTTTTATTTTAAAACTAATAATACCGCTAGAAAAATTAACTTAAGTATTGCTAGTATATATTTTCGCTATTCTTTCACATCTATTACTATACCAACATTTATAGATAAGATAATTTTTTTCAAAAATATATTGTTAATCATCATAACACGAAATAATTTAGTCTCTTCAAATTCTCATGTAGTCATTTATAATTTTTAAACTGACTGTACTAATATAATACGAATAAATTTGGTTGTCATTATTTTATACATAAATGTCAATAAATGACAAAAAAAAAACATTCTAAAACTTTTTAACTTGGTCGCATAATAAATTTTTGAAAGGAGGTTCTTATCCTGCTTAAGATTTTCCATCTTGAATGTTAATATTAAAAGATTATTCATGATTTTCTTGATGATTATGTGTGCTAAGTCATGGCATTATGATTTTAGTAATATAATTACTTAAAATAAAATTTTATATTTAATTTCGAAACTAAACCTACTTATTGCCCATTTATTTATCTTCACTTCATTCGTTCATTGTAGTTCACGAAAGTTGTCTATGGTTCCGAAAACGTTGTTTGCCGCCGCAAATCAAACGAAACTTCGCATTCGAGAACCGGAGTAGACCTTGATTGTTTTTGCAAATTCGTAGGAGTCCAAAGCACCGGTTGGAAAGACATCTGTATATTGGAATCATTAAGATCATAACCGATCACCTTCCGCGGGTTTCGTACATAAATACATACTAAATCACCGGTTGTAGTAGAGTCATATAGGTTACTTAAAAAAGTTATCTAGATATATATGTAAAAATAAAACCCGTTTCCCGTTGTCACGCCATAACTTGAGTACGGCTAGACCGATTCGGCTGATTTTTTTTGTTTGTTATCGTCATGAGAAGGTTCTTGTGACAGAAAGTGTCCTGAAAATCCTACGGGAATGGGAGAAACGGGATTGCGCGTACGAAGTCGCTGGCAGAAGCTAGTAGAGAATAATAATCAAGTTAACACAACAGCGTTATAGGTAGGTATGTCCTAACATTAAGCTCCGTATGATATTCATCATTCATTTCATCAGCCGCCTATAAATGCCCTCTGCTGAGCAAAGCCTCTTCTCACACGGAGAAGATTTGAGCACAAATCACCACGCTTACTCAATGCGAGTTGGTGATTACAAACTTATAACTAGAAATTATAAGCCTAGGTTTCCTCACGATGTTTTCCTTCACCGTTGGTAGGTTTCGAACCCGCACCCTCATGCATGAGAAGCGGGCGTCTTAAACCTTCAGGCCACCACGATATATATACAGACGGTATATTACATAGAAACCACTATTCATTGATGATCGATACAAAGACAAAGTTTTAAAATGCTAACTTTTCTCAACGACAGCTCGGTTAACCGAAAGACTGTTAAATATAAAAAATGCTTCACCGATAGTATTATCTAAGTTATGAAATAGAATCTAGATTCGGATGGCTTAGTCCTAAATCAGAGAATAACCTCATTTTCCTAACAAAGCAAGTTTAAAACGTTTATGAAACATGTAGTTAAAGTGTGAATAGTGAACTAGATTTTATTTAATGACTTTGTCATTTAGCGCTGTTTAGAGACTCACGCGACTGTGGTCATGTTTTGTATACCAATGCAGCACTTCAACATAACCTACCCATCTATTGGAGTAAGTTAAGTGGGATATTCGACCTTAAAACTTATAAATTGAATTGAAAATCTATTAGTTCACCGTATTGGTGTAGTGTGATCTGCTGCTGTGTATGAACATTAAATATATTGCCACAAACAACAACTGTTACGTAAAAGTACTTCTTAGTTTTGCCTGTAAGCTTCATCCTCCCACTTTTTGGGTAGTGGGCATGATCAAATCAGAGCGGATCGTATGTTTTACAGCTGCCGCCATTTTCCGACACTGCAGCCTACTTTATGCATTTAATCGCAACATGGAAAGCAGTTTAGATTTTACCAATAAAAGTCCTACAATCTTACTTAAAACTGGAAAACATTGACGTATTTTCATTGCAATCGACGTATTTTTCTTTTAGACTATGAAAACAAAACTCTTCAGAATGTTCAAGATAAAACCAAACGTGAGATAGTAATGAAATCGTGAAAAACTGACACTTGAGATCGATTTATCTGATAATAATTTCTTTGTAGCACATGGCCAACTATTGACCTTAAAGTAATTGGAAATAAGTAGCAACCGACCTGAATAAATGTCAGATACTTGTTAGCTGAAGAAGCCACGAAGGGAATCTTGTTTTTAAATATGTAGTTATTTCTGTGACTAGTTCTTGAGTATACTTACCTATTTGTTAAATCATTTTAATCTGTTGAGAAGGCAACGTTAAAGAAGGTATTCATAAATGTAGTTGCTAAAATTTCCACTTTATTTACGTAAAGCAGAGCTCCGAAAATATCGTACATAGGTACGCCATAGTTAGGACTCTTTTAACAAAACAGTTAAGAGAACATAATGCATAATATGCATATCAAATTTTAATATTTTCTATAATACTTTAATAAAAAAAAGGAATAAGCGTTAAAATTGCTCAAGCCGCATTCATTTGTACCAACTTACTTACTAGACTTTGAGACCCCACCCTAGCTAAAAAAGTGGTTGTGGATCACCACCGCCACGGTACTTTTAAATACAAGAAAAAGACAAGTTCAAATCTTATCTTATACTCTCATACCATTATATAAAGCTGAAGAATTTGTCGAGATGTTATAACTTTCGTGATACTTTCTAAATTAATTATTATGTTTTTCGTCTTACTCACGTAACTATTTGACAAGGAACTCTTTTGTGTTGGATAATGCATTTATCAAGGAAGGCTACATAACATCTCGATCAATAGAAGTCGAGCAGAACGAACTACTTCCCAAAATTATGACATTCCTATTTTGTTTGAATGTTATTTCACTACAACGCATTCGTATTTGCATAAAGCATTTCACACTGCCTGTGATTAATGTGGTCAATTTGTTAATTACTCTGTTTTGTGCATACTACCTAACTACGTAGTAATAGGCGGACACTGGGGCTGTACTATGTCACAAGGAGTAAGCGGGTTTCCATCAAATTGGAGGTTTTTTTGGGTTTTGTGTGAATGACAAACACGATACCGCTTAAGCATATCTTTGAATATTTTTGCTCGGAAATCTATTAATATTAGTACTAGTCCTTTTATTTTTCTGTCCATAGTTTTAAGCATAATGATGTATTATTATCTAGTTAATAGTCTAACATTACTTAACTTTGTATTGTAATTAAAAAACCCGTTGGAAATGGAGTATATACAAATAAATTATTCTATAATCTCTATATTAAATCGATTTTGTTGTTAGTCGCCGATTGTTCCATCTACATTTCATATATTGTACCATACACGATCAATAATAGCCCACGGTAACATAATTACCTATAGTGACTGTCGTCCAGTATACATATGGTATATGTACTGTTGTATGCGTGTGTAATCACAATCGCAATGCAAATTAATTTCAACACTGTTCTCAGCTCAGTGGACCCGATGAGCTGATTTAATTAACTGCCACTCAAGTCCAAACCATATAATTATTAAGATTAGTTATTTGTGTAAACTGCAACTCGGTACTTTAGTTATGGACTACGATTTAACATATGGCAACTAGTGGCTATTTTACAGAAGTTGCCGTTGGCAGAAGTAGCGCAGGTGTCATTCATTCAGGTCGACCTATGTTTAGTTCCCCAAACTTTATTGCAACGCTAAATTAACAAACCATTTTAAAAATGTAAGCACACGAATGTGTTTTGGTTATATAGTATAGATGGGTGTCGTTATTATACTTGTAATGTAAAGTAATATCAATAGACTTCTATTAACTCATGCTACGTTTAAAAATCCTACCGCTATACTAAACAGGCATATTAATATTTAATCTAGTAATTACCCTCCCCGTACAGAGGCTCAATTACTCTCCCCTTCCCCAATCTCCCCAATCCCTGAATCCCCAACGATCCTCAAACTCCTAATCCCCAAAAAGCCGGTAACGTACTTGTAACGCCTCTGGTGTTCCAGGTGTCCATGGGTGACGCCGATTGCTTACCATCAGGTGATCCGTATGCTCGTTTACCGACTAATGCCAAAAAAAAATATTTGGTACGAAAATGAATCTGCAATAGTGTAATTGTCATAGATGCCAATCTGCGACTATTTCAGATGTTTTTAAGGTTACAATGGGTACAATTTTTTTTTCACAGCATGCAGTAGTAAAGTCGTGTAAGAGTAAAGAGAAACGCGAGCACTGGCTAGACCACGCTGATGACAAATATGACTCCAACTTAATAGAAGATGTGAAGGCACTACTCCGAGTGTTAGTGCTCTTCATACCACTGCCAGTCTTCTGGGCACTGTTTGATCAACAGGTAAGACAAGACAGGTGTTTCCAGATATATAAATATACATTGGATATGGCATGTCGTCTATTTTTGCAGTCTCATAAAAGTTCTTGAGGAACAAGAAAGTACAACCACCAAAAATATTCATTAAAAACCACTGGGACGATAAAATTGTTTTATAATGTCTGTATTTGTCTTTTTAATCACAGGGTTCCAGATGGACCTTCCAGGCAGACAGAATGGAACAAGACATTGGTTCCTGGACTCTAAAAGCTGATCAAATGCAAGTGCTTAACCCTCTGCTCATTTTAATATTTATTCCTATTTTTGAAGTGGTAAGTAATAATTTGATAAAAGTGATATAGGTGAGAGGTATGGGACTAGAGTCACTAAAGTTGTTATACTTTCAGGCTATCTATCCTTTCCTGACGTGGTGTAAGCTCGTAAGGAAACCTCTACACAAAATGATTTGGGGCGGCATCCTAGCCGCATGTGCCTTTATAATCTCTGGCATCGTTGAACTTAATTTACTGGTAAGTTCCACAGTGACCTTTAAACCACATTGTGACTAAACACCTGAAATAACATGAAAGTGGTCAGTACAGACTATGGAAAAACATTTTCAGTTACCTCAAATAAAGGTCATGTAGATTTTTCAATTTACAAGATTTCTATTTCTAATGTAACGTGACAAAGAACGTGAACATTATGTTACCATATTCACAATTTTGTAAATCTGTGTCCTGCATTAATCAAGGAACCTACATGTCCCGGAGTTAATAAATGTCACATTCAGTCATTCGATTTCGGATCGATGTTGTACAATGACGGGGTGCTGACGTGTGACCAAATCTACCACATCTACACCTATCTTGACCACACGTTGATTGGCCTTTGTAGCTTACTATTGGCATGGATTTGAAATAAATTGCTGGAAATGGCGTTTGACTGGAACTGACTTGAAGTTTGAGAAAATTCAATATTAGGAGGAGTAATTGGTGGTTTAATCTCAGTAGTACGGCAAGGTATCAATAATAATAGCCTTTGCCAATGTGGTATCCTCTTGCACTATTAACAGAATTTAGTTGCAAAATAAAAATAATTATTGTTTATTTATAGCCGACATACGGTACACCGGTCTCAGAAGGTTTGGCCCAGTTGAGGGTGTACAACGGATATAATTGCAACTTCACTCTTAACACTGCAAACCTCAATACACTCGAAGACAACGCAACCAGGAACTTTGAAATCGGCCCTCTCTCGGCGTACGAGAATCTACATATATTCGCTGATGACTTTGTGGACCTCCCTTATTATTTACAAGGAGAACCTGCCACAGAGTGCGCGGGTATAGCATTTAGTGGATACTTTAACCTAAAGGAGAAAACTGCAAATTCGTTTTTTATTAAAAAAGACGGACTATACAATTTCACTGACAATAACGATAAAGCAATCGATGGAGTAAATGTTAGGTAAGTTACAATTAATATTAATACTACAGCTCATCATGTTTTGGTTTACAATGGTGGTTCTGATAAAATCGATCATATATGTGATTCCAGAAACGATATATGAGTGTTTCTGCTCTAAAATCAATTGTAGTAAATGTTTTTCTTATCAATAAAACATTACTACCATCTACACTCATCGGCGGCCATGTTATATTGCCGGTATAGTTTGCTGGGGTTGGATCACCATACTTTGCAAAGTTTGCCCATAATCCTGACATTTCTTTGATAACTGTTTTGTCGGTATTGACGTCATCTCTAGTCATTTTCACATAATCTTCCCAAAGTGGTTCACACTTAAGTACGTAGCATATTTCGTCGCCAGTCGCAACACCTTTTATTCTTGCATTAGACATCCCTAGCGAAGTTGCCTTAACAGCGTTGAGCGAACCCCTGTAGTCGAACTTGTACATAAATATCTTCTTAGTGTTCGCTTTAATTAGCTTCAAGTAAATATGAATGAATTTGATTATGGGGTACTTAATAAGATCAGATGTGTATCTCAAAAAATGTTCGAGGGATTGTTCTGTTATACCTTCTTTGAAGTACCTATCCTTTATTTCTTCCGATACGCGCATGTACTCTCTCGATGTAGTGTTGTAACTGCATCCGTCATGAAATGGAACCATATACTTAAAAAACTTTCGAAATAGTCTCAAATAATATGGGTTGTGTATAAACGGTATAACTTCTGATATACTTTCTTGAGTATTGAAACCCATTAACAAAGGTTTAATCTTTTTCCGTTTCATAATATCAAAAAAATCTTTTGGTGATTCTGTTAATAAACTAGATTTTGATTTTGGTTCAAGTATCGGAGTAAACGGCACTACAGGTCTTTGAAAGTTTTCGACTTCTGAACGAGTATATATCTTTTGTGAGGCATCAACAATGTCTTTGGTTAAGGCCTTACTTAATATTACGCCTTTCTTCTTAAGTTCTTGTTTAAGTCTTTTTCTTTCCAACTTGTGGTCTCCTTGTAATATTGAAGCAGAATATAATGTTCCACTTTGTAAAATAATTTTGGAAAATAGTTTACTAGCCTCTGTAAGTAAGAGCAATGATATGAACGTAGCAGCCGAGTTACTCCCCATTAGAGTAATGTTATCTTTATTACCACCAAACTGCTTGATATTCTTTCTGATCCATTTCAACGCCAAGACAATGTCCTTGAGTCCCATGTTACCATGTGAATCATCATCGTTGATTTTTAGAAACCCAAACACTCCTACTCTGTGAGTGATAGTAACTAGAACAACATCATTATCAATCAAAAAGTCTGCTCCATGAATGTGGCTAAAAGATGAAGTAAAAGCATATCCATGAAGCCAAACAATGACAGGCTTGAGGACTGCATCTTCAGTTTTAGGAATTACTGGCGTGTAAATGTTTAGATATAGACAGTCTTCAGTCCCAAACAGTCCGTGTTTGTGAACAATGTGCGCTTGAGCACATGCTCCGTGGAATTCTGTACTTGCGTCATAAATTCCTGCCCATCTTGCTTCAGGCTGGGGATCTTTGAATCTTAGCTTGCCAAGAGGTGGCTTAGCGTATGGTACTCCATAAAATACAAAGTAAAGTCTCTTATCAAAAACTGTGGCCTCTCTGTGCCCTATCAGCTTTCCCTGTTTAACCGTCACTTCAATTTTATACGATAATATTCTTGTAAATAACACAAAAAACACGTACACTTCCCGATACATTATTCATTTTTTTATTTTCTAGCCTATTTTTACGTTATTTACGAAGTTGGTTATCGAATAGCAGAATTAAATTCACTCAAGTGGCAAATGTTTACATAAGCAGGAATACTAGTAATATATGGCCACGTAAAACATAACGATTATGAAATAAAGTGAAAGTAAATAAGGATTAATAAACACGAGACAGTGTAGGCACTGTTTTAAAGATGTCATTAAATCGTCTCTAGTTAAGTATAGAGCGATGACAGTCGTGACCTAAATCGACATTATTCTCCCATTTCTAGCACCCGCTTAAGTTGCAGGAATTAATTGGTATTCAGCCACTGCTAGTCAACCCATAACCAATTTCTTAAAAACCTGAACGTATCTTTGATTAATTGACTGTGATTAGGAAAATGCTGAATTGAAATAAATCATTATAAAGGTGGGTTATACAGTATGATTAAAAGTAACCTTACTTTTTGTTTTCAGATTTTTGGCAAACCTGAACAGCGTCGTAGATATAAGTATAGAAAGTGATAAGAAGAATAAATCGTTACTAAGTATTCAGAGTAACAATACGTCGCAGAAGTCGATTGCTAAAGGCGTGAGCAACGTTACTGTAGGAGGATTTGTTGTTCTAAGCGACTTCAACTTTAAATCTGGAGCTGTTTACACCATAAATGTCTACGAAGACAGTGCTGGAGTATACGTAAGTAAAATATCTATTATACAACCATAATTGTAGTAGCTCAGTAGTCATAAGTTATCCCTTATCGGAATTCTGATCAGAAAGAAATTGTCATTACTAAAATGACCCTAAAGGACCTATCTTACAACTGATGATAATAGAATCTACAGTATAACTGTTGAATACTTGTACTTCTTATGTCACTTCTGTTGTATTAGGTTTAGTAGGTCATTGCCCGTACAACCTGAGCACGGTGATATTATTATTATTATCAATCCAAACGGTACTTTCAGCTACTATGCACGAGACAGCTGATTAAAAATAACATAGGCAGCTAATATATCAATATAAGCACAAACCTATAAAACTTCACTTCTTTTACAGAAAGCAAACGCGGTGATGATAACCCCATCGAACAGCATCCATATCCTTTGGCTGATACCTCAGTATGTGGTGATGACGATGGGAGAGGTGATGTTCTCAGTCACCGGCCTCGAGTTCTCCTTCACCCAGGCTCCAGCCAGCATGAAATCTGTGCTGCAATCCGTCTGGCTACTCACTGTAGCCTTCGGAAACCTAATTGTTGTGCTCATCGTTGAAGGAAACTTTTTGGATGCACAGGTGAGATTTAATACCTGCTAATGTAATGAGATCTTAGGCGTAGATGGTTAGGTACCTATCGATTCACATTCAGTAAGTATAGCGTAATAATAATAATTATATTGTAATGAACTGTATAATTGACTGCCTCATTGGCCGAGTGGTCGCAAGTGCGACTGCCGGGCAAGGGGTCTCGGGTTCGATTTCCGGGTCGGGAAAAGTACCTATTACTGGGTTTTTTAAAAAATCTCAGTAGTAGCACGGGGTCTGGAAATGTACCCGGTATATGGCAATAAGCTCACCCCCTATTACATGGGACACTAACAAAAATAGTGAACAGTGGGTGTTACATTGTATAGTGACATTAAGGGCCGTAATATGCTCCGCTGCCTACCCCTTCGGCGATAAGAGGCGTGATGTTATGTCTGTATGTATGTATGTATTATAATTAAATATCACGCTAAGTATCGCGATACATATCAATCGTTTAGCATTGCGCGCCGCCCATTGTGAATCTCTAAGTATTTCTTTCTTAAATTCACAGGTCACAAGTTTCACTGTTAAGATTTTTACCACGTTTACTGTTAACCAAGCCTTACAGAGGAATTACCTTCAACGGTTTTATGTCCGACAACGTTTTAATATTTTTCTTCTTATTTGCAGTGGAAAGAATTCTTCTTGTTCGCCGGCCTGATGTTGATAGACATGCTCATCTTCACAACGATGGCATTCAGATACAAATACAAGGAACTCAGTTCTAGCGACGAAAACCTTGCGATTGAGGAAATCAAGATGCCAGAGAAGACTTCACAAGACAAATACGAAAAGAACTAATTGTTACATAATTATTACTATTAAACACTAAGTAATTAAAGTTTTTATTATTATTGATTATGAGTGTTGTTTTATTTGTTCGATTATCACATTACAAGGAGAAGAACCAGAAAAGACAAGAATCTCATCCTCATGGAAAAAGCTGTTACGATCATTGTGTCCACATAAAATAGAAGGTTCGCACATGCTCTTAGTCTCCCAAAAATGTAATACATCACATAACATCACGCATTTTATCCCCCAAAGGGGTAGGCAGAGGTGCACACAGAAGTAACACCCACTTTTCACTATTTATGTTATGAGTCCCATGTAATAGGGGGTGAGCCTATTGCCATATACCGGGCTCATTTCCAGACTCCGTACTACTACTGAGGATTTTTTAAAAACCCAGTAATAGCCTGACCCGGGAATCGAACTTGAGACCCCTTGCCCGGCCAGTCGCACTTGCGACCACTCGGTCAACGAGGCAGTCTATAAATATATATACTAGTACACCTATAAATCAGCCAAATTAATCTCTCTGATTACATTTCATCAATGACATCACTATATTCAATAAGTAGGTATCTAAAAGCAACAGAAGCATACAAACACAAAACGACACAGGGCTGCATAAATAAAACACACAAGTCACAAGCTCGTAAATTGCTAACGTAACAATATTAGAATAGTGCAACAGCGAGACGTTGAAAGGTATCATAATTCTGCTGAGCCAGCAAGAAAGAGTGCGCGATACCATTTAATTTTACATACAGTGTCGTGCAATCAATAATCTGATGTCAGTCCGGTAATCATAAAGATACCTGCAAGACGTTGGACAGTCGTGTCAGACTTCTTTTGTAAAAAGTTAAACAAGAAACGTTTTACAATGGGTCTACCGCCGGACGATGTTCCGGTCAAAAATACTGATAACACGAAAGACATGTAAGTTTATTTGGACTATTTCATCACCGAATTATTCTATCGACTTTGGTAATTAGTTGGGAATATATTTATGATAATTATCGCATTTGAGAAATGCCTACATATGCTTAATTCAATTTGCACATGCTCTTGTATAACTTGATTTAAATTCGAACATTTAAATTGTAATTTGATATAAAAGGTGCCCAAATTACGACGGTGTTCTGGTCGACACTAAAATTGCAAGTGCAACCTATTTGGTGTCAAAGTGTAAAAAACTATACAGTCATCGTTTTAGTGATTTACTTAATTTAATGAGATATACATCACGCCATTTTTCCTTAAAAGAAGTAGACAGACAGGTGTACAGCGTCACGCGTATCATTAGTACTGATCTCATTTTATTAGTGATAATAATTACTGTTATGAGTGAACACCTAGATATATACGTATAATCGTTAATAGAGAAGTAATAATAAATCTCAAAATTATTGATTAATCTTAGTGGTACAACCCAAAAGCGTGTTTAGTACTTAAATAGTCCCTACCTACACACTTCGAACAAAAAGGTCATAGATTTTTAACATTAACGATTAACGAAAAGTGTTGAAGTAACTCAAACAACTTACAATTGATACCTAGTTAGGTAATTGATGTTCATGTCAGAGTCCGATCAATAGAAAATGCAGTCTGGCTCCTTGAATATTTTATTCATTTGTGGAACGTTAGCATAATCATAGACTTGCACAATGCCGTGCTTTACATTGCATCATTATTGGTATTTGTACGGTTAACAGACGTGTAATTTTCATACAATACGTAGTTTTACCTGTACTTAAATATTTGATTGCAATTTCTATTTTTAAATAACATGGCATCACGCAATGTTTAGAAGTGATTAATACTGTGGTAGGTAAATATTTACAAATGAATTAGTATTTTTCAATCATATAAAATGCCACACTTAGTTTAAATTCTATTTTTGGGTTAGTCAACTGGCAATAGGCGTTATTGGAGTTATTAACAGTGTAAAACAATAGACTGCCTCGTTGGCCGAGTGGTCGCATGTGCGATTACCGGGCAAGGGGTCTCGGGTTCGATTAATCAAAGTATTACTGGGTTTTTACAAAATTCTCAGTAGTAGCACAGAGTCTGGAATTGTGCCCGGTATATGGCAATAGGCTCACCCCCTATTACATGGGACTCATAACATAAATAGTGAAAAGTGGGTGTTACATTGTACAGTGGCATAATGTGCACCTCTGCCTACCCCTTCGGGGATAAAAGGCGTGATGTTATGTTATGTTGTTATGTTTAAAACAATAGATTCGCATTCATAAAGAACTTGTTAGTAAGAGGTTAAAAAAAGTTATACTGAAGATTGGTAGTTGATCAAACTTTACGGCTTCAGTATTAAATACACTGCCATACTGATTGCCTACCTCGTTGGCCGAGTAGTCGTAATTGCGACTGTCTTGGGTTCGATTCCAAAGTTGGGCAAAGTGTTACTGGTATTTTTTTCCACGAATTATGGAATTGTACTCGGTGGTATATTTCAATAGGCTCACACCCTATTACATGGGACTCTGTGAAAAGTGAGTGCTACATTGTACCGTGGCATTAAGTGACGTAATGTGCACCTCTGCCTACCCCCTTCGGGGATCAAAAGCGTGACGTTACGTTATCTATAGATAAAAGCATTTTACAGGTACAAAAAATGTATTCTCTCGAACGCGTTTTATAGCGATACTTAACACGAAACTTATATAAATTCGTAAACTGATCCGTTACCTTTTGTCTACACTACCAGTTTGTGTCAAAAGCCTTGTTCACGCAAAAAACCAATATTTTTCCCATTCTTTTTAGTGCTCCCGTACTCAACGACCCTACATGCCAGAACTCGCATTCTACGAGTAGTTTCAGTTCTGTTACTGTGTTCCATCACACAATGTCAGTCACCATTCAGTAGACGGTCACTCAATCACCAGTAACTGAAGCACTCTAGGGTTACTGGTACACTTACCTATATTGGTCACTTTAACTGCAACAAAACCTTTAAGCCAAAGTGTCCAAGTGTAATACTTAAAATAATTGAAAAAGCTAAAAACACGCTTTCAATCATACAATACCCAAACTCGATATGTGTTCTCCTTCTAATTCCATTATAAAACCAGATCGATTGCTTCGTAATATTGTATGGTCATCTAATTCACATGTAACTATAACTGTTCATATCGAACTTTTTAAGTGTAGGAGAGCCATGCTTCGGCACAAATGGGCCGGCTCGACCGGAGTGATACCACGGCGTCACAGAAAACCGACGTGAAACAACGCTTGCGTTGTGTTTCGTTATGTGAGTGAGGTTACGGGAGGTCCACTCCCTTCCGCAGTCCTCCAATCACCAAACAATCCTCAAATTCCCAATTCCCAAAAGGCCGGTTACGTACTTGTATCGCCCCTAAGTTTCCATGGACGCCGATTTCTTACCATGATTCGTCTGCTCGTTTACTGACCGAATTATCCCACAGAAACATAAATACATACATAACATCACGCCGTTTATCCCCGAAGGGTTAGGCAGAGGTGCACATTATGCCACTGAATAATGTACCACTATAGAAACATAAATGTAATTACCAAATTTCTTAACGATACCTACAACATTTAGAAGTGTGTAGAGGTATATTCTGATTCTTAGATTTTATCACATAGTTCGTTTCAAGTGGACCTAATAAAAGCGAGTTAAACAGTAGAATATAAAGTCTTCTTGTACTGTTTTTGACTATTTAAATTCAGCAGATAAGTAAAAAAATTGTTGCTTGATTTCACATTTTTCCTTCTTATTTCGAACCGTTTAAGTGGTCAGGTTTGAAGTCAAATTATTGAATTAACTTTACTCGTTATTTTGCTTTGAAATTTCTCATAACACAATCAATTTTCTGAAAGCTTATTTAATAGACTCAAAGTTATTATGAAATGTTTCGTTTATAATAAACTGTATTAAATTCAGGGAAACCCTGTCAATGCGTTGCCTTGCAACGTTCCTTTAGTGTAGATAAAATTATTACTTACATTAACTTTTACCTTATTTTTTATTTAGTGAAATTGTCTCACATTTTTCCTCATCTATAATAATACCTATGTAAACTGTGACCAGCTATCGGGTTACGGGTAGCAGCATTCAATAAACGGCAACTTAGCTGTAATCCTCAAATTGAGGCGTCTAGTGTTGAGAGAGTTATTGGCAAACCCACTCGCAAGACAGAGGTCTTTGTTCAGCACTGACAATAGACACCACGGTAATTACCTTCGGCAAGATATAGAATAGGCTAGAAATACTAGACTAGACTAAATACATCAGTAGCACAGTCCCTTACTTAAAGAAAGTACTTAATCCACGAAGGGATAGGCAGAGGTGTACTTCTTAAAGGCTCATATTGCCAAGTGTACCTATAATATGATCAACTTATATAAATAAAAATGAATTTCCGTTCGTTAGTCTCGCTAAAACTCTAGAACGGCAGAACTGTTTTTGGTCTTGAAATGTTCGTGGAACTCCAGGGAAGGTTTAAAAGATGAGAATTTTCTTTAGACGTGCTAAGTTTGCCAGATCTGCTAGTGTTTTATAAAATAACTACTTACTTCCGCACGGTTTCACATGCTCTGCTCAGCTCCTATTTTCGTAGCATAATGTTTTATAGCCTATAGCCATCCTCGATAAATGCGCTATCCAACACAAAAAGAACTATTCAAATCAGACTTGTAGTTACGGAGATTAGCGCGTTCAAACAAAAAAAAACAAACTCTTCCGATTTATATAATATTATATATTATATAATAGTACCTATAAGATCATAAATTGTCAGGTCAATCTGATCATCAATCCCAGTTTGCATATGTTATCACCATCTATGTTCTGAGTTAGGTACATGGAATAGGAGGCGAGACTGTTGCCATATACTGGGCACAATTCCAGACTCGGTGATATCACTGAGAAATTATGTAAAAACCGAAAAATCCCAAATATCCCTTGCTTGGTAGATTTTCTCAGGTAAGTATAAGTGTCGCGTAGTATTTCTTCCAATTGTTTCCCCTAGATGACCCTCATTACCGTGTTTACCAGTTAACATTTATTTCAAAGTAGCAGACGTTCAAAGCACAGCTATAATTTCTTGCAATTTCAACTGACATTCTGAGTGTAATTACTCGCTTTTACCCATTACTTACTAGCTATTTACCGTGACCTATGACCAACTGGTCTGTCATTTGTGATTGAAAATGGAACCGATTAGACTTCAAAGACTATGCTTAGATATTTATTTTTCTTATCATTCAACACACAAACATAACATCACGCGTTTAATCCCCGTAGGGGTAGGCAGAGGGCAATGTACCAACATTACGCCACATTTCACTTTTCTTTATGTTATGAGTCCCATGTAATAGTGGGTGAGCCTATTGCCATTTACCGGGCACAATTCCAGACTCCGTGCTACTACTGAGATTTTTTGAAAAAACCCAGTAATACTTTGCCCGACCCGGGAATCGAACCTGAGACCCCTTGCCAGTCGCACTTGCGACCACTCCGCCAACGAGGCGTATTATCATTCATTGGATAGGTAGGTATATAGGTAACCTGGTAACCTGCACACGGAAGAATCTAATAATTCAAGGACACATTTTACTATATAAAACCATTATCTCATCGTTAAAACAAATAATAGTTCGGTCTACTATCCAAAATTAATGTATTTATTTACAAAGCGCTAACGCGTAATATTTGCGAGTGACAAACACGAAGCGACCACCAAAAAACCCACTCGAATTGTTCAATCTGTTCAGTTAAATGGCGTTAACATATTAAACAATTAGTTTTGGGTAATTTGTGTGTTGTTCCCATACGACTGCGGTTCATGCAGTGCGGTGTGGGGATGAGTCGCGTGGAGCTCGGCCGACCCCTCGTTGTCCGACGCAGTTTTGAAATAGGGTGAGCACTGGCCGATACTCAAACTTTACATTTTTATTTGTACAGACATCGCCTTTTTTGCTAAAAAAGTTTTGAGTATAATTGCCGTGGAATTTGTTGCTACACGTTTTACATTTTACTCTTTACTCTTTAGATTTACAATAGGACACAAATAATATATTTACACGGTGTGCGGCTGCCAAATTGTAACTTAATTTCATTGCTGATATATATAAATTACAATTTTAAATTAAAATTATTTTAATAGTTAACACTTGTTTTTTAAATTGTTATTACATGTAAGAAAGATTTTAACCGATTACGCGTTAATTAAAAAAATATATATTTACTGAATTCTAATTGCAAAACTTTGAGAGCCGCACCCTCCCGTTGACATGTTCAATTCTGTTCCCGACTTGTTAATAATTGCGTATAATAAATGCTTAAATACAACAAACATACAGACAAATACGGGCCGGGTTTATCACAAAGGGAGCGATTCGGTTTCCAGGCAATTGAAGAACTGTACGCACTTACCAATACTTACATTTATCTTTGATGGATCTAGTATTTCGGAACTGATTAGATTACCTAAGTACTTTGATATACATTGCACAAAGGGGAAGCTACGTTAGTGGGATATTTAGATTTATAGGTATATCTATAATCCAAAATCATAATTTACTAAAGCATAATTAAATTGCAATTAATATAGAACTTAAAGTTTTGTGTTAATGCAGTAGAGAAAAGGATTTAAGCAATCTGAATTGATTGTAAGTGTTCTCGGATAGTTTGTTTGCTTAAGATTCGAACTATATGGAGTTGATAACAGTGATTCAAAGTAGTTGGCGACACGGATTAATTAAGTGCCGTCAGAAAAACAGTTTTGGTAAAGGCGTCGGTACAGTGTTCCGGGCACTTTGAGCGGCGCGTGGCGGTCGGCCGCCGGCGGACGCGCGCCACGCGCCGGGCTCTCTACACACAGCACACAAGACCACGTGGTCCTTATAGTCTTGTGGACCCACTGGATAATCCGCAGCCGACATATGCACGCAAATAAATAAATTAACTCAAGCCGGTGGTTTTGCTGCTTTTTAAAGTTCGGTTTTGCATTAAATCAATTAAGACTCCTGTGAAAAAATTTAGGCAATTAAATGTAACATGTTAAATTGTAACTATTACATGATATACATTGAAATACTACTCATGGGTGATGCAAACAACTTGTTAATCGAACACCGAGAGAGGGAAAACAAAGAGAATAAAAAAATGCAGTGAATTAACTAATAGAATTTCACAACTATTTCAGTTTCTTTAAACTAGGTACATCACATAACAGGTATTCACTAATATTAGAAGTATTTATACTTGGTTTATTAAACTATGCAAGACAACTACGGGCTACAGAATCTTTCCTTACTTGTATCAAACAAAGATTTACATCCAACTGTAATTCAACATTCAGGTTTGTTTCGAAGTCAATTTACAAGTCTGGAATTTATTTAATTTAAACAGATCGTTGCTCACAAGAGCTCGTGACCCAAACTGAAACCGACATGAGATCTCACGCGAAAAGCTATCAAACATGGTCCTTCAGGGCGTGGTTGCGACACGTGCGGGTCGTGCGATGCGACAGTCGCAGGTCGCAGGGTCGCGCGTCTCCGCGACAAATCAATTACAGGGTCGACGAGGGCCGCACTTCCGAACAGAATTAGCACCAAATTATAGTAGTTGTGGATATTTCTTGTTTATCAAAGGGTGACTCGCTAATTTATAGTCATGACAAATTGCAACTAGTTTGCGCCCATTATGTTAACATGTTGCATTCTCACGCTCTACAAAATGTTGGATGACATTTTGATGTAGTTTAATCGTTTAAAAAATATTTGTTTTATGGAACAATTATATTTACCTGCCCACAATATTGGTTTACATTTCAGCTCCCGCTTCAGTAATGTTTCAAGGGTGGCTCGTAGACGTGAAGTACGACTGCGGAGTGTGTTTTATAACCTAGAAGCTGTCAAAAACACTCGGCGAGCCACCAATGGGAGAGCTGGCACTACATCGATCCGACTCGCAGTCCCCGCCAACCCAACGAATTTTATCGCCCTCTTCTTTGAGAAAACGACGTACGTATCTGTCAATATAACTATGTAGGTATACAATCTTATACTTCTTAGGAAGTATTGGTATATTTAATTATTAAGCAAATCATGGTGTAGGCTTCAATATCGTCATGCTATTTTCCTTCCTATTACTTGGTACAAGTACTTACAAACGAACGCTAGTTGATCTCATAGGGAATAGGGATGATGACAGGGTATGAAAATTAAAAATCTAATTAGTCCGTCAGTTAGGTTAGTTAATGAAAAAATATTAGACGCTTATTTTTTTATTTTCATATATAATAAAATGATACTTGGATATTACGAATCAAAGTTTAGGAGTGGGGACTAAAACGTCATTTCTACGTATAAAATGCACATAGAAGTGACGTCACGCGACATTCCAAATCAATATATCGTCGAAAGTATTCGTTTCTGTAAAAAAATAAATAATATGTGTGTAATGTTTTAAAATAATCTACTAGATGGATATTAAAATAAAAATTAGTCATCTACTATGTTCTATAGCGTTATGTTTATTTTATTAGAGATGGTAATCTTATTCTCGATCGTTTGCTTCATTTCTGAAGGTTGTGCTTCTGAAAGGCTTTCATTGCCTTCTGTGTTATTACCCTCCATCTTCTCCTTTTTTCGGCTTCTCTCAGGGTTTTCGTAACAGAAAGTCCAGTGCGATTGGTAACTTGGTCACATCATCGGCTACGTGATATTTTTCCTTCCACCTAACCAACAACTACTAATTTGTCGAGGTTATCAGACTGGTGGCGGGCAATGTAACCGAAATACCCAAGAATTTGCTGTTGTCAAACAGTCGATAGTTTAGTTTTTACACCGAGTTATTCCAGGATTAACTTACCTATTTGTTCTTTTGGCAGTTCATGGTAGGTATTCGGAGAATTTTATTAGTTACCTACATATAAAAAAGGATTATGATAAGAAACGATAAAAATCTTATCTGCCAAATCTGAATATGTTGATTTAGGCATAATTCAATAGAAGAGAGAACATAAATAATAATGAAATACATTGTCCTTGAAATTCTAACATCTACTCATCCAAAAGTTTATTAAAAATTAGCACTAGCATTGCACAAACGAGCGCCTGCTACCAGGAGCAAGACATAGAGATGTTGATTATATTCATTTAGCACAATAAAACAAATTTAATATACATACTTACAAAACAATATTTTTAATACTTACGCGTAGCAACCCGTAGCAATTCGTAGCAGCTCGTAGCAAGCACCTGAAAATGTTAATTTTGGCATGTTTTCAGCAACATCGTTACGTCAGCGGTTTTCTGGCGGCGATCATTAGTTATTGGGATAATTTAATAAACACCCACAGAAGTTTTGTCTCTTTGTCTAGGATTATAGGCCCCGCCTCCGCCTGCCTTAATTTTCGAAAGCTCCACCCCAGCGACGGGGGATGAAGGACACACTCGCTCAGACCCCTGTTTTGTCAACACGTTATAAACGTTAAATTAATAACAATAAGGTGAATTTTGTTTTGCAACGATATTTTCGTCACCAGACTCACACCAATATGGACGCGAATAAGTGACCACCCCTTGTGGTATAAAATTATTATAAGCGGTCCACGCAGATTCAGTTGAGATTCGATTTCGGGCGAGATAGAATTGTGGAGGAACCCTATTTAGTGTTTGTGAAATGTCTGCTACTAGGACCCAGCTCGCTGACTCTTCAACTTCACCACCACTGAGGTATTTTTTATTTTTTTATTTAGTTAATACACATATTTTTTTACGTTTCATAAATTATACATTTTTGTCCACTGCGCGAGTTATTATTTTTTATTTATTTAGATGTTATATTTATTAAATAACATAACATTTTTATCTGTATTATATGAATTTTATACATTTTATTTGCATACTGTTGATTATTTTACTCTGCATTCTGCAACTTTAATTGTATCTGCGAGGCTTCAGCCCCTGTGTGTGGCGGGCCTTAGTTCAGTAGAGGGTTGCGAGATCTACCGGCAGTCGCTCTCAGGAGCGCTAAACACTATGAGCTGGCGAGATGTATTCCGAATTAAGCGCAAATCGTAATTTAACACGCGAACACATTTCAAAAAGTGCTTCAATACTCAAATAAGTGTTACATTTTCTTACTCCACCTCTGAACTTTTATTAAATCCATAAAATTACAGAATTATTTAAAGCGAAATGTACGAATCAGCAAATAATTCAACGGAATCTAAGAGCCAGGAGTGCGTTATTATGTTATTTTGTTGAATTATAATAACAAAGTTTTCTTGTATTTTTTTTTTGAAAATATTGTTTTTGTGCAGTGATTCCCGTCGTCTGGATTACACGGGTCTGAAGTTCGCGTATGGTGACGGTTCTGATGATGAAGGATCCTCGCTGACTACGGAACTGCCGTCGTGTGTTTATGCTGCAGCCAGGAGCCGCCTACAGCTACCTTTAGCTGCTTACGTCCATCAGCACTCGAGGCAGCTGCACTCAGGTTAGTACCTTTCACAACGAATGCCTACGAGGGCCTTTTTCACAATGTCCGGATAGCCACTATATACCGCATTGAATATTAACGTAATTTATATGGACTATCTGCCAAATTTATCGGAGCTCTGAAAATGCTGTGCCGTAATTTAAAATTCTAAGATTGTATAAAGAAATACAGGTCGACAACGGCGAACATATGTAACCTACAAGATTAAAGGGACATATAAAAATATACCCGGCATCAGTTTCAAACCTTACTAATATAAGACAATTAAATACGATAAAAGAAGTAATCATCATCATCAACAACAGCCTATAAATGCCCACAACTGAGCAAAGCCTCTTCTCACGGGTAAAAGGTTTAAGCATCAATCATCACGCTTGCTCAATGCAGGTTGGTGATTACAAACTTACAATTAAAAATTTATAAGCCTAGATTTCCTCACGATGTTTTCCCGAAGTTTTTACGAAGAGGTAATAAGAGGTAAGAGGTAATAAATCAATAAATTATTCCTAACAGAAAAATCTGTGAGACATTTTGGATATTACAGAGTATAGAATTACGTAAAGAATTAAAAATTACATAATAGAGAATGTTAAAGTTTTCAGAAGTTTTCAGTATTTTCAGATGAGGTACTATGGATGTTATGACTTGATCTATATATTTAGTTTAATCAAAACTGATTAAATAATATGCGTTCATATTTAAATTTATGATGACTTTAATTTTTTTGACGTCATAGTACAACTGTATAATAATATATTTTTTAAACATCAAAATAGGTAAAATTAGGTAGCCTTTACAGATACTTTCTTAATTTACGTAATATTAATATTCTCCATTGGACAAAGCACTTATTCTAGTATCGGCATTGTAATATTTTTTACTCTATTTCTCCTCTCCAGGTACAACTAAATTCCACGTACATTTGATAAATGCTGAAAGTTTTTATAGCGATTTTAATTAATTGAACGTGTGGTGTAGTGTTTTGATGGAAATTCCGAGTATCCTCACACTTTCATATAAACGGCCCGAGGCTACGTTATAACAAAATATATTTGCGTTTCATATTAGTTTTTACGTTTATTTCACCGTATCGTAAGTTCCTAATGTAAGGGGAAAGGGACAATGATCACGAAGGTACAGGCACGAAGCACTACGAGGTATTGTTTTAAAAAAGACTAACTATCCACATAAGGCGCTTACTTCAATATTCTTTTCGTTAATTACCAGCCCCTAGAGATTAGGCGTCTACGATTTCACAATAAAATACGCAGGATAAAAACCATGGTAAATTGTAGATACTTGCACACCTAAACCTTCTTCAGGAAATACCCCGCCTATTGGTGAAAACCGTAAAAATACCGTTCAGTAAAGTCAAAATCATATATTTCAATTAAACCAGGAAGCCAGTTTTGAACGTCAGAACATAAAATATTGGAATATAAAAAAATATTAATCTGTCGCTCAATCCTCTAGTGAAGCTTTTTGCTTGTACCAAGGTGTAGATTCCTATGCAGAAAAACGAACAAGAAATAGGCCTTTAAAATCAGGGTCACAATAAATATTTTTGGTTACATTGTTTCGTTGGTTCAATTATGTGAGAACAATGTAACACCAATATTCAGTCAAGGAGAAAGAACAAAAATAACCTTAAGGACAACATATTTAATACTGTCTGGAGCTGACCAGTCCCAGTTTACAGCGCCCGTAGTAGTTTAGTAATAGTTTCTGAATTTATCTCTTCATACGTAAAAATAGATTTTTTCAGAAATAAGTATTTTGTTAGGATTATAATTATCATTTATCTCTTTTCGAGGATCTTTATCCAAATCTATGGGTCGATCAATACTTTTTTATAGAATGTCCACGCAATTAACCACAAAAATAGATTTAATATTTAATTAAAATGAAATCATGTTTCATGATACATTTATGTTTGCACAGCGAAATCGCTTTAAACTTACGATACGTATATTAAATTGGTTGTGTCAGTTAAAATCAGTTCCATTTGTATGCATCACAAAATGTCATATTTTAATTTTAATTTAAAATTAATAAGCCTGTGCACTTTAATATTGTTACCTTCAATTTTAATTCAGTGATCAACAAGCCTCTCGTTCATGTCAATGATTCCCGTCACAACACACGACCATTTTCGCGTTTTCGTTTTATATTTTTCATATTGGTTCATTTAATTTATTTTGACAAAATTGCTTTTAAATGGGATTTTGTATTGAGATTTTATGCCTACTTGTTTTAAAAAGTAATAAAAATGTTACATTTTTTCTTAACTTAAATATTTGTCAATTAACTTTGCATAGCTTAAGCCGGATTATGGCGATCTATTTATTATATGACTGTATAAACGATAAATAACATTATGTATTTGTGCAAATAAATTGAATTGAATTGAATTTGAGTTTAACGGAAAAGTGAACTTGGCTTGGCTTCTGCCAATGCCAATTTACCCTAGAGGAAAACAATTTCCGCTTCCTCGGTAAGAAAGCAAGGTAACATTTCAGTAGTCATTGCCTGAAAGAGAAAAACACATTCATACATCCTCGCAAACTTTAACACTATTACAATATTGTTAATTTGTTAATTTCTGCCCTCTTCTGCCAGCCTCGCCGGTGTTCAAAGTCAATGCGTTTATATCATGGTTTACGTAGGTACCATTGCCACATAGAAACACTTTTAAAACGTCACAACTGCCCGTCAGCCTGTCGACGCAAACAGTCACCACTATTTGTTCCTTTTATTTTGTTGGTATAGTACTATTTTATATTTTATCCATTTTAAAGATTAGATGTACTAACTTTTCTTTTTCGTAAGCTCATAGTTCTGTGTTTAATTCTAATTTTATAACTCTTTCATATCTCTGAGGATACCAGGGCTTGTTGGCTGAAACATTGGTTCAGCATCTCATAGACCATATACCATGCAGATGTTTCGATTGTAGCTACCTAACACCATACTAAACACTACATTATTATTGTATTGATAAAAAAATAAATTCATAATTATGTATTTTTTTTACAAACTGCATTCAGTTCAATTCTGCATTTCACATCAACAACGATATAAATCGCAGATTGAAATAGATACTCTAAATTCTACAAGTATCTAAACAAAATATTTTACCTAGGTAGGTACTTATACCCAGTTGCTAGGTAAGTATTGTAACTATAATATTGTATATACAGATGTGTTATTGGACACGTCAACGGAGCCGGAGTACCAGTGCGGGGGCTCACCTTACCGGGTGCAGCGCGCTGCCGCTAACGTCCGCGAGCGCCGACGGATGCTGAGGTCCGGACCCAATGGGTATCCTTCTTATTTGTTGCACGTACCTTCCTATCTGTATTTTACTCAATAATTGTCATCTTATGTGTATGCTTGTTTAGTTGCCTACCTATGCTATGCATGCTGTAGCTGGAAGTATTTATGGTAGAACACTGAAAAAGTAACTTCAATTGACTTAAATGTATTTACATATTTAACCAGTGGTAACCTTTACCGACCGAAAACAATGAATTCAATCACCGTAAATAAAATAAAAACGCATCTCTAATGGAACGACTATAACACAAACGAAACAGAACAAATGGAATTAATACGTGAAACTGAAAAAATGAAAGCACAGCAACTGAAGTGAATCGATATTCAAAGTGAAAATTCCATTTTCCACAAAACTTTGTGGCCGTATTCAAATTTTCCACCTCGTGCTCGTTTTATAGGAAATTATTTTTCGTACTGCAATCCAAGAGGCGATGTATAGCGATAGTTCCGACAACTTGTAGCTTTCTATTTCCTGCAAACACTTACAGATCCCGCCGGCCGCCGGCGGCGTGGTGGCAGCACAGCGGCCGCGCGGTGCAAAATAAAGTACATAGTTAAAATTCCGCGACTTTTATTAGCTCAATTAAAGTTTGAAAACGTACCTGCAACAGATTTTAGAACAGTTTTGCATAAAATTGGAGTTACTTAGTACTTTGCTTTTGTTGCTGTTTCTTAGGAAAGTGTTTTGTAGGATAATGTTTAACGAGTTTTATTAGTTAGTTAGTCAATTGCTATTTCAGTATATTGTTGCTATTTAGCTATTTTGAAGCTTGTTGTTCTGCAAGTTTACTATGACTGTATGTTTACCTAATTGTATTTACGTAATGTCATCTAAATGTCTTCAACATTATGTTGTACAAGCGGGAACTAAGTAGTTTAACGAGAGACGTATCCCAGATTTGATTCCATGCTAAGGCATTTTAGACAATAAGGGAAATTATTACTAGTAACCGGAGTCTGAAAAGGTATTTAAGTACTCTTGATGAAATTGAACTAATATCGTACACAAGAGGTATTTAGTTCAAAAAGTGTACCTATGTTACATTTTAAATATTGTAATTATATTAGTGTGGTCCTCCGATTATCCCTTCGGTGAATTAAATGTGTGTGATGTGAAGCTATAATGTTGTTGTTGTGTTGTGATTTTAGCAGTATAAACTCGGCGTTCGATGAACTGCGAGTACACGTGCCGACGTTCCCGTATGAGAAGCGACTCAGCAAGATTGACACGCTTCGACTGGCGATCGCATACATTGCGTTGCTCAGAGAGGTAACTACTACATGTCTTCTACTACTAGCTGTTGCCCGCGACTTCGTCCGCGTCCGAATATGATTCCTGTTTTATCCCATAGGAGCATTCAATCGGGGTAAAAGTTTCCTATCACCTAAGTCAGCCCATATACATAGCCTGTACCTATACCAAATTTCATCAAAATCTGTTCAGTAATTTTAGCGTGATTGACGGACAAACATCCAAATAAAGAAACTTTTATATTTATAATATTATTGTGATTTGAGAATACAAATATTATTTTAATTTAGGTACCTTCGAACAGCAAGGGTGTTTTTATAGGAAAAAATATTTATATAGGTAGCAAAAATGTCCCTTACACATAAGTAGGTACATCTCTAGGTAGTTGCCACACAGAAATTAAAAACAGCTATGTTGCCAAATCTAATTACATTTTTTTTCAGGTGTTGGAAGCTGATTATGACCCGCTGACATATGTCGAAAAGTGTCTCCGTGGTGAGATAAAAGCTGACAGAGCACATTGGAATACAAGTGGTAAATATTTGAATTTTTTATGACCTTTACTAGATATTCAATGAAAATTTTATTGCACGGTAAGCCCAATGCGGTTGTCACACAGTTGTCACAATGGTATATTCGATTCCCGCACGGAACAACATACAGACCTTTAAAATATTCGTTTAAACATAAACGTGTTTATTTGTCCTTTTCCATAGATCTAACTGCGAGACTATCGTGGATCAACTGGGAGAATCTCGGCGTGAATCCTCAGCGACGCAGCGTACTCACATCACTTGCTCTCAGTTCAGATAATCTACAGTATGGACATAACTAAATCAATCTTTTGTGCAGAGTCGCATTAGAATAAACGGTTTAATACTTCATCTAAAAATATAAATAAGGTAGAGTTATGTGGCATTGCGATGTCCTAGTATAAATTGATCTCCCGCTAGATTGCCGTCCCCGGTACTGAAAACTCTCAAATGTTTGTTCAGCATTAATAAGATAAGCTAATGCCACTGGCTACCAGTTATTAGGAATCCCCATTTCTAGAGGACCGTAAGCAGAGAATAATACTGTCAGGGTGCGTATTATAAGTATTATAAGCAAAATGCTTTGTTTGTGAGGAATGCACAAATCTGAAAGTTCTCTGTAAAGTTTCATATAAGTACTTAAAGAACATTTTCTTATCTATCTGCACTATCTGCAGCATTTGCACATGAAATGCATTTAGTTAGCACATTTTCTCTCTATAACTCAAGCATTTTCACAAAAGCAAAAGGCTAGTTGAGTAACTTGAGTAGTCGCTACGATTCATGAGGAAGGTACGCAGACACCATCCGCCTTCAAGTCCTTATCTTCAAAGTAGAAATAAACTTACCTCTAAACTCTCTATCTATAAAATCTATATGAAGTTGTTTTTAGGTAATCTATCATTATTTTTTAGCATGGGTAGATACTAATAGGTAATTTTAGTCTTTTTTTAAGGGGGAAAATTATCGAATGGCTGCTCCCGGCTGGGAACGATTGTTGATTTAACTTTAGAAACTTCTACCTTCAATGCCTGGTTTTAGTTAATATCTATGTTTATGTAGAATTATGTATATGGATGGACGAGAATAGTGCCTTTTCACACGGTCCGGTTACCGCTTACGGCGTATCAAGGAGGGCTATAGCCATGTGTATCCAACGTAGTAACGCATACGTAGTCAAAGTCAAATTCAAAGTCAAAATCATTTGTTACAATTAGACCAGAAAGGCACCTTTGAACGTCAACAATAAAATTAAAAGTGAAGCTTTTGCTCATTCCAAGGTGTAGATTCCTATGGAGAAGAACGAGCAAGAAACTCCATAGGTTACTCTTTTTCAATCAGGTTCACAATACAATTCTCTAGTTACATAGTTTGCTCGTAGATAGAGGTATACACGTTCTATAATGTACCATCAGCAAAGTTTAAGGTGGATTACTTATTAAACAAAATCCTGTGGCTAACTCGCTATCCACCGGACGTATTCCTTGTGGTCGCTCGCGCCGGGGAGCGCACCGCCTATGGTGGTCGACCGCCAACATTGTCGATTGTACATTATCTGCCGCGTAACTACCCGGCACCGACTACCAGCAACTGGAGTGTGTGAAAAGGCCTTTAGTTTTAAGGGCTAAAACACCAAAAACATTTCCTACCTATTTGGTACATATTTGTACGAGTTTTAAATTATATTTATAGTATAGTCTACATAAATGAAATAAGTTATGTCTCAAACCACAGTGACAACTTAAGATATTATCGTTACTAGAACACATAGGTATATTTTCGTATAGAATTAGAAGCTGTTGAAATTAGAATAGAATCAGTTTAGGCTTCAGTTGTTACTATTACACTAGTTGATCTAATAAGAATCTGCTTTTTATTGTTAATTTAAGTTGGGTCCTGCTTTCCGAGACGAATCTCTGAAACATGTATTTAAAACCTGGAGCTTATTACCGTTATTTTTTATCGTGAAGGAGTCATTTCTCGTTTAATGCAATCTATAATGGAATCGATAAAAAATCGTTGTTTGATACATGAAGTACTTAAAGTTGCTCCTCAAAATGAAATCTAGAGCGTCATCTAGATTTCATAGTATGTTTATCAAGAAATGAAAGGGGAAGTTTACATAAGTTCGCAAAGCTCTAAATTAGAATATTTAGAACACCACTATAGGCCTGAGTTCTAACTTAGTATTTTTAATTAAGCTTCATAATATAATGTGGCAGCTTTGAATGAGATCGCACTAATATTTATAAGTTATAATGTTCATATTGTTTTATTACCATTGTTAATTATAACAATCAAAAAATTTGAATTTAATAAAGTTAAGTTATTCACTTGTAATTTTAACTATTATTGAAATAAAATTTAGCAATATATTGGAGATCATTGTTTTATTATTATTAAACATTTCTTATAGATATTTTATTACACATTATGGACACTTAAAACAATCACAATAAAATATTCACCTATTGAAAAATATTGTATGTATAAAATGTAATAGTGTAAAATATATTAATATAAAACAAACAGTAATAAGTAACAATTTCCTATTTCGTCAATTTACACAATATACCTACTTGAGTAAATAATATCAGTAGGAATGTCCGTTTGCAACTAATAACTCTAAATTATGTACTAAAAGACCGATGCTTTACAGCTGATGGTAATCATAAATCACTTAAAGACACCAGTAACTTGATAAATACAAGACAACTTCAGAATCTTTATAATTCACTTTTCTGAAGAATTATTCGCTGATCGATCGTCAAAAAGAAAAGGACGGTGCTCTGCGCCCGCGTCACAACATTAATACTGTCACTATATATATAATCTGTACGACTTGAAACACATTCGAGCTACAATTAACATCAACAACTACAGTATTGATTCAAGAATTTGCATCACTAACAAGAAAAATATAGTTTAGGCACCTTGAGCAAAGTCACCCTACATTTAATCATTTCATTTTTTCTACAAATTCATTCATTTATACGTATAATTCTTTGACATAATCTGTTCACACAAATATATTTCTATAGTATATTGCTATATTCGTATTCATTTACAAAAATGTGTTAGACATTACTTATGTAAGTACAATCATAAGTAAGTAATAGATTAGTAAGTACATTCTCTGATTTAATTACATATCAAAAAGACCGTTTATTAAAGAGCAATTTGCGCATTCTAAGACACTAGGAACGTTATTAGTGATCACAGGAATGAGATAACCATTCAGTAATAAAGAACCAATTCTGAAAAACAACATCAAAGAATAAAACAAAGGACTATCTGGTTAAATTGATTTGACTTGCTAAGGGTGGCATGTCATGCACCTGACATATCGCAATATTGCCAACCTTTGTAAGTTTCCAACAAAATGCAATCAACGTGGCGAATACGCTAAAGAAAAACCGACCCACATATAGACGGTGGTCGGTCACTGACGGCACAATAGTTATTGTGAACTCCAGTTGTTCACCATGCATGTTATCAGATCATTTTTTTTCTTTGTACAGTTTGTGTGTGGATATGTTTCTGTTACATTAAAGCTAATGGTTGCAGAAATGTTCTAATTCAGTTTATTCCTTTTGGCATTTGTAACCATGCAAAAACGGAATTTTTAACTGACGTCACATAGTGCCGGAGAAAGCAATTGAAAAGTATTTGAGAGAAGAAAATTAATTTCCGAAATGCAATACGTTTTGCCCGGTCGAATGCCTTATTTGACTCCTAATTTGAAAAAAAATAGAGATACGCATAAGGTTTTTCTATAAAATATTCTTTATTGACATTCTTATTCCCAATCCTTAAGAAGCCCCCTTAGTGACTCTTGACTACGTCAATGGTCAGCGAGCCGTGCACTGAGGTTCATAGCAAAAAGGAAAGAGGACATGAAGATAATGGGTAGGAGCCAATCTGAGTTTTCCTTTTGAGATTTAGACGATTGTCAATCTGATGTAACTATGATATAAGAAAAGAATACGAAGAATCACTAGTGACTAGTTAAAACTGTATTCGCCCTTTCAGAGTGACCACTAAAGGAATACCAACGAATAATCGGTCTTTAGCGTCAGTTGTAAAGTACAATAGTAAATATATAAATGCATTGAAACACTGTCTTAAACACTAGACTACTAACAATACGTGTCCATTTCTAAATATCTATACAAGTTTAACATAAAGACGGCCATCGGTTTTAAGTATAAATACTGTACATGAGGTATTAAATCGAAGTTACAACCAAACTCGCAGTTAAATAAATACATAACAGACAAACGCGAACATTTCTATCAACACTTATCATTCTGCACTATACAAAGCAGTCTGTCTACGTACTTAGGTCTACATGATTCCTTGTCATCGAGTGACGACCTCAGTCTTAGTTCTTCCTTTACAATTTTTACAAACATTAGCCGCATTTTTGGTAGGCCATTCCAAATTATTACTATAAAAGTTAAAAGATAAATCTAACTACCAAATTGTTAGTATATCTTACATTTTATTCAAGAAGTAATTTTACGCGAATTTGGAAGACCGCGTCAAAAAATCACATTGAAGTGCATATTGCTATTATTATATATCCTTTTGGTAAAAGGATAAATTGACATACATACGGCGCCTCAGTCGATAAATGGCGCCTACTTTATTCCGTACTGAATTAGACAATATAGACATACAATGAACAAGTTCTCACAAATGCTTCACAGACTAGTATGGCTTATATGGCCTCTGTCTCTGTATGCCTTGCACCACGGGTAAGTATGTTCAAGGTATCTCTTATATTAAAAGTGTCAAGCTCTTGAAGAAGTTTTTAAGAGAGACTTGTATATCGTGAGGGCAACAAACAGCCACGTCAAGAGAATCGCGACATTTCGCACTATCATTATTTAAGTAGCTCACGTTCGCAACTAACGACTAAATAAGTTATATAGTCATTCAATTCTGTAGGAAATACTTAAATATCAAGTCAATCCTATATTGCACACTGAGTAATTATTATCTGAAGGAAGTACTTAATTTTTAGTTTCTATCTGAATTGGGATGAAACACAATTTGTAAATTGGTTATGTGTACGCCACATTTACACGTTTTAATTTGAAAAGTATTAAAAACGATTGGTTCATTATTAGTTATTCAATAAATATACGACTATTATTATACATTTGTGATTAATTTACAAAACAAAACAGAGCAAACGTAGTAAATATATTTTAAAGAGAAAATATTTCTGCTTATTTCTAACCAGTGAAAGTACACAAACATAGCTTAATAGACAATCTCTAGATTTTAAGAGACTTTTAATCATATTCCATAATAATAGTCTTGCAATATTTATTATAAAATAATTTCATTCAAAATTGTAAATTTTCATTCAATAATGCTCCACCTAGTAATTCGATGCTCCCTGTTCAACAACAGTTGCGACAAATATACTTTTCTAAGTAATCCTATAATAATTATAGAATAATGTATGTTAATATCAAACACTAGGTCCTAATTTGGCCTGAGTGCTTACAAGAAACCGGATGACTTCATTAGAAAAATAGCAAACTGCCACAAGTACTATGATCACAATTTCACAGTTGCTTTTCAATCGTGGAGAACGTATGTGCCTTCTTCTTGACTCGAGTTCAAAGCACATTAACCGATGGATTTTGGTAAACTTCGGACAATCAACACCAACAAATGTGTAGATTGTTTAAGGCCAATCCTCATAAGGGCTGCCAACTGTATGCCAAGAAACCCCTGTTCCGGTTGGAAGATGACCGGACGGCAGCAAGACATGCCGTATGAATGTTCTACCTTGAGTAAGTCCCAAGAAGAGTCGCCAATTCTTTCTCTTTCCAAAATCATATGGGTTCTTATACTGAGTACCTATATGTTTACGTAGCTTTTCATTGATATGAGCCTCGATACTTGTCTCTCCTCTGCCTATATTTCTTCCATGAATGATGGTCAATGTTCCAAGTGCGATCAATACTGCGCAACAGGTAATGGCCATAAACATGACCGCCTTCCTCTTCCATGGATGAGCAGCGATACGTTGAGCCTCAGTGATGGGTGGAACAGGCAGATGGTGTTCGCGGGGAGAGTTGAACGAATCGTATTCCACAATTTCTTTCACTGGTACTAATGCACCAGTTTGGTTCAGTCTCACAGGGTGTCCAATTAGATCTGGATCATTGTTTGGTAATAATCCGCCTGGAATTAAAATAATTAGATCCATTACCAAACATAACTTTGGGAAAATGTAGAAAAACAAAAACCTGTAAATATAAGAGTGACGATTTTCCCGGTGGGTTGTACCCGCGCGGTTGAAAATCGCTTCGTGAGTCCTTAGTCTAATAAGTAGGTAAAAGGCTAAAGTACCTGTATCATTCAGCCAAAGCACTTTGTATCCAATGTCAATACCGGCAACAATGATAAAAGTCACGCCTATAACCATGTACACCATGTACAGATAGAAGAATCTTGCATTGTAGTAGCCCACGCAGTTGTTGAGCCAGGGGCAGTGGTGGTCCATGGCCAAGATACATCGGTCACAAACAGAGCAGTGATGAGTACGGGGAGGCCTTGGAGATATGCAGCGTCGACATATACTAGCTGCTTCAGAAACATGAGTCGTCTGTGGAAAATAAAAAAATGATTAGTTCATTTCATCTCGTTTGATGATAAATAATAGCTACATACATACAAAATATTATATTAAAAATTAATAATATTTTAAAATTTATTTATTAGTACTTATTTCACACTTATACAATCGCCATGCATAAAATAAAACAATAAGCCAGGACAAAAGACTACAAAAACCACATATAAAAGGTTTCTTAATGATAAACTTACCGGTGGGGGGTATCCAGGTTCAGTAGCTACTCCTTTATAGTAATGGAATATAATATTAATTAGTAGCCAGTTGCCAAATATGACTAGAAAGACTGTTGTGTAGGGACATCTTTGCCACCAGTATGGCAGCCCTACCCAGTAAGCCACGCCTACCACAGCACTGGTCAGTATTGTGACACAGAAGATAAAAACCTGAAATTGAACATATGACTCAATATGAAGATTATATCATACTGTTGAATTAAAAGTCATAGTATGCGATTACCAAACTACAAAAAATAAAGAGCTAGTTTAGATGTCAATACCCTATACACAGAACAGACTTTAACTTAATTATTTCATTTCAAGTTTACAGTCACTGGAACAACACAAATAACCCATCAATGCACAATCGCACATCTTTCAACAAATACTTGTGTTTGTAAAGATTAAATCTGTGACAAAGTTCATACTATGCTGTATTTTGGTCAGCAACTTATCACTTGGCTAAATAGGTAATTTTAGGACACAAACAAAATCTATATTTTATATGGAACAAGATGCAAAAGAGCTGACAGATCACTTGATAGTAAGCAAACAGCATCCATGGACACCTGCAACAACAGAGGAGGCACAGGTGCACTGCCAGTGACCGGAGAGAAAAGAAACAGTTGATGTCAACCATTTATAAGATGGGGATAGAAGCGCTGTCATGAAGGTTGACGGGGAAACAATGGCTGAAAGCAGGCCAAAAAACTCCTGGTCAAACTCCCCTTGGTATAGCTGTTACATAATACACAATGAAACTTCATTTCTAAGCATTGCTAAAGTGTCATATACTTATTTGTAAGGTGTATTCGTTGTTATTATGTCTCCGACTGTACATTTCAGGCCAATTAGCATTATTCATTGTTTTATTTCATTAACTGTATGGCTTTTTCTGTCAGTTTATAAGGTATTAGTTTTCATTTATAAATTTATTGTATTATAAGGGTACCTATAACATAAGGTTTAATTTTGGTAGTAATTCATTTTTATTGTATAATATTGTATCAGCCTTTGGTATTCAAGGGACAACGATCTACACTATCTAATGTGCTAATAACAGTTCATTCTTGGTCTGCTTTAGAATTGATAAAGTATAAGAATAAATAAACGAGTAACAAATGAGGGCATTTATACTTTCATTGAGCCTCTCATTCCAGTTCAATCAAGTTTTTTTACTAAGTGAAAGACCATCAAAAGATCATCAGTACATTAGTCAGTCAGTACATCAGTACAGTACATTAAAACTAGTACACTAAACAGACTAAATAAGTAGGTACCGACAAATAATAGTTTAATAATTGATTAAAATTAAGTTATTAATATCTACCTTTTTACGTCAACTAGTTACTTCTAGCCGAATTGGCATGAAATCATCATAGGTTATATATTAGATAGATGTGTATCTACACAGATAAAGTTTTTAAATAGATGCTTAGGTACTTACTTTTCCTAGATATTGAGCGAAATTGTCAACAAACCAAAATACAGGTTCCAGTAAGAAATCTATTGCGTAGCTTTGGTTCATGTGTTCATTGTAAGTTAGAGACCGGAATATTAACACGGCCTGCGATATTTTCCAAGCTACACATTCTCTGAAAAATAAAAACCATTGTAATTTTAAAATACTTATTAATTTATCATTTCCAACAAGATCATATCAAAAAAACTTAGATTTTGCTCACCTAAGTCTTCGGCATAGCCCTCGAAACTTCCACCTTATAACAACCATTTTTACTAAAATAACATTGATTATAACAAAAATAAATAAACTTATGATTTGTAATGCCTATGTAAACAACAAATATTCTGTTCCCCACAAAATAATAGATTTCTAGGTTATATTTTCTATTTTGAACATCATAACATCATTTCAGTGTTGTCAGACTACACAAAACAAAGTATTGATTTGATTTGTTGTCGATGTTGACAACGGACCCGGTCATTCACGTTGATCAACGTCCTTGGTTGTTGCAAGGATGGATTGACTTAAACTTCCTTGCTCTAAGGAATAAAACTTAGAAGAAGTTTATTAAATAGGCAAGAGATCAATTCGTAGTGGAGCTCAACTGATTGTATTTCGAGTAGGTATAAAGTAATTTTCAATAGAACAAGAAGCTGGACAATTTTTTCGAATCAAGATTATGATTTTCCCCTACCTATATGGTATTATGCTCTTTGTTAAATACATACGTGCCCTCATTAACATACATCGCCTAACGTCTTACGTTTCAATAAATAATAAAGGTTTTGAAAGTGCAGTAGATAGAGTCTGGCAAACGAAAAAGAGACTGAAAAATCCCGGCAAATTAAAAAAATATCAGTATAGCAACCCAAAAATTAGTATGTCATACCTGGAGTCTCTCTCTCTCTCTACTTTCGTTTGCCAGACTGTTTATTAATTACTTATTATATTACTTTACTAAAGTTTACCCACCACCGTTACCTTCACTAGGGCAAGGTGAAGGCAATTTTCACAAGATTAAGGTGATAATGCAAATGCTATGAGCATAACATACCATCACGCCTTTTATGAAGGGATAGGCAGAGGTGCACATTATGCCACTGTACAATGTAACACCCACATTTATGTTATGAGTCCCATGTAGTTAATTCATTCCAATTCCAAAATGGGGGTGAACCTATTGCCTGCCAATAGTTTGCCCGACCCGGGAATCGAACCCGAGACCCCTTGCCCGGCAGTCGCACTTGCGACCACTCGGCTAACGAGGCAGTCGTCGAGCAAATTTATTACCGCCGCTTTACCCGGGTTTTTAGGGGAAAAGGTAGCCTAAGTAGGAATCACTTCAGACATATTTACCCTGTTCCAAATTTCCTCCCGGTCCCTTTAGCCGTTTTAATGTGACTGGGTAACAAACAGACACACAAACACAAAAACTCACGTTTTCGGATTTATAATATCGTATCAAGCTAATTTTAATTTTCAACCATCGGCCCTACAGTTACAGTATAAAGTCTACTGCGACAATATATTTAAAATTCGACAAAATTTGCGTTTAGTTCAGTAATTGTGTCTAGAGATAGAGCTGCACAATAAAGCTTTGCCCAGGATATTAAAATGATTGATGATGACGCAAACACTACTGGTCCGATTTCCAGTAGGAAATGATGCGTGAACATATAGATAGACAAAATTTCTAATCATATTTTTGGATTCGGTGTCTGTCTAGTATCTAACACCCCAATATTATTATTATTTTTTTTATATTTTCAATGTACAGAATGAACATTTCCACAGTTTTATTTATTTACTCTAGCTGACCCCAGACCCGGCAAACTTCATCTCGCCTCAATTTTTTTTCTCACCTTTTAAACCTTCCCTGGACTTCCACGAACATTTCAAGACCAAAATTAACCAAATCGGTTCAACCGTTCTCGAGTTTTAGCGAGACTAACGAACAGAAATTCATTTTTATTTATATAGATTTTATTTATTTATATTTAAACATTACATTACCACAAGCACACCTAATACAATAAATGCAGTTACACATTATAAGTAAACTTAAAACTACTATTACCTTACCCTTAATAAACTATTTATGTAAAATAACTTAGACAAGGAAAAACAAGAGAAGATAAGGACAAAGAACATTATTTAAACTTACACGCTAATACATTTACACAAAACTATCCCTAATAAACGTACATATCTAAGTAACTACAAATATATTGTTAAAGTTTATGTAATACTATCAACATAAAATAAATAAATAGAATCAAATAAAGTACAAATCCTGGAAACTTATAATTATTACAACAGCCTCATATGCTACCTTTGTGTTGAGTGACTTGAGTGTACAAGAGAATATATCCGTACCTACAGTCCGCTATTGCATTCAATGTGCGCAACGCTCGCGTCATTGGTTTGGTGCCTTCTGCAAGACATTCGTGCGTGCGCACGGTACCACCAGCAGCCACGGCCACCGCACCGTCTGCGCCGCACGTTCTCGCCGTAATTCTAGTACGCACGCACAACCCTGCGCGGGATACTTCGCAACACTTTAAATAAATTTAAGTAGCTAGAGCTACTTCACGCCTCATATCCAGTTTGTAATATCCTCTCTAATTTCATTTACCATACCCATTACCCAGTGCCGCGGAGAGCTTAACGGGTTACCGGGGCTCCGGCTCGAAGTGTAGGAGTAGGAACGGGGTGGTCTTTAGTCAGTAAAAGACTGACACTCCCTACCGCCTCACCCGGGCGGGAGCAGTAGTTCGATGATTTTCCCCTCTTAAAAACCATTACCCAGTAGGTAGGTACAAACAAAGTTGGATATGGTATTGGGTATCCCAGGTATACATCGTACGGTTTGAAATACACAAATGTGGCAAACTTATTTTGGATACCTACGTTCTATCATAAACTTATATTCGTCCTCATGTGGACTCCAGATACCAGCGTTACACTCCAAGTGACTTTTAACTAAAACTTCGTTCAGCGCCCTTAAAGCTGCGACGTTATTAAACTCGTTTGCCTGTCGTAAACGAAATTTGATACAAATTTACTTGCTATTTTAAAACGAATGATTAGTAAGTATTTAAATGTTTATTCATGTATTGACAATAAAACTAAAATTAGTTAAATCAAACCAGTAGTTTTTGATTTATTAAAGTTTTTTTTTTGAAGTTTTGAAGTTAAATTGTGATTTTATCACCAAAACCGAAAATATTAAATATCTCAGAAATTAGCCACTTTTGGACTAGGGACCTCAGGGCTATTTTTGTAGGAAATTGTTTCTATTGTCATCTCCCGAGAGGAATATGTGAAGTCACCCGGTATACACATTTTGTGCAAACTAAGCAGGATACATAAGAATTGAATAAACTTTTTTAACATTTATTTAATTATTTCAAACATAACATGAGTACAGTGACATCATTTCATCATATTTTAAGAGCGGGAGGTACCAGAGGTACCAGACCTCTACTTCTCTACCCAAAGAATCTTTATTTTATTAGGTTTATGAGGAAAATCTCCCAATTCTCTGATTACAACTTTTAATTTAAGTTGTGATTTTATGGAATCTGATAAAAAATCTTTGAAGGGCACTCCATTGACTTCCTCCTCAGTAGATGAACAGTGAATAGCAAGCATTGGTATGTCATAGTATTGTTTATCAAGCACAGGCTTAAGACGAGAGAACTTGCTTTTTATCTCTATACCCTTGTCTACAAGGAACAATGTTGCACTATGTTCGTTACTGTTAACAGCCCTTATTATGGCACGTTCATAACAGTTTCCATCAACTTCCACAGCACATGGTTCTCCTATAATCATATTAAGATTACCTGTAGATTTATCTTTACAATATGCTGACAAATCCATATTCTCCTTTGTTTGACCATTATCACTAATTTCACAAAAATAGAAATTGTTTATTGAGTCTCCGCCAACCAGTTTGCCCAATAAGATATCTCCTACACATAACTTTTTAGGTTTGTAATTTAATACAAGTGTCACTTTACTCTTAGTTGATGAAAAAGTGTTGTTTACTTTCTTTGGTTTTGAGAACACTGCTAAGTCATACAATACCAACAGTTGAGACAAATCATAAACACCACCTAGAGGCATTATTTCAACCACTAGAGTATCTTTAGTTTTATTAACTACACGCATCATTGGTGGACCATCACCAAGGAATATTTTCATTTTTTCTTGAATTTCTGGTCCAAAATCATCTTCTTTAGGTTCGCATATGTGTAACTGACAATGAACTGCTAATCCAGGACAATTTGAATCTGGGACCTTCAAGTTTAGAGGATGTATATTTTTGATCTCTACACCAGTATCCATGCAACCATAATCAATTGCAAATATATCACATGTAGGATTTGCTTCGTCACTTATGTGACATATTCTTCCTCGAACCAATTTATCAAGTGTTTTAGACTTATAAATTATAGTTTGATTGTTAACAGGAGAATGAACTGCATCTCTTCCTGGAGTTTCAATGGCTCTAATGTCTTCATGCATATCAGACCGAACATATATATTTTTTGGATTAGTGTAATGTGTTATTATAACTCTGTACTCATGACCAACATGAAATTGTATTGGTTCTAGCATGGCCATGATGGAAGATGTCTATTAACTCTGAAATAACAGAAAGAAACATTGTAGTTGTGTATATTTGCAATAGATAAAATAATAATTCTAATATTTTAAAGAAAAGAGGCCCATTATTCCTGACCGATTTGGCTAAGGAACACCGTAATTATCCAAGTAATCAGCTTTCGAATTTCTTTTATAAAAATTCCAGAGTTTTTATCGATTAAAACAAAGACGCCCAAACAAACAAACAAACTTATAGTATAGTTAGGTACTATTAAATTACAACCCATAACATTGGAGATAAAAATGATCAAACAATTTGTTACAATTTTTAGTAAATGTACTTACTTCATTTATTTTTATAGTTTGTTTCACTCAACAATATCAGAAAACGTTTATTGATTAGCGGTGGATTGAACAGTGGCCACAGACTAATAATGACTTATTTGAATGATTAACATTTGAAGTTACTTTTATTTAATTTTGTTGTTTTAGTTTATTGTAAGTTGTTCATATTTATTTATTTCCTTATTTTTATATATTGTGGAAATAAGTATTGAAAATAAAGAAATAAGTTACTATTTATTAGTTAGAACCAAGTTCAACCAAAGTTCAACTACCTATAGATTTTAAATTTTGTATCGCTCTCTGTGTAACAAAGTTAACTAAAAGAACTATTTAATTTCCTATCCAAAAGTATAGACTGCAATGGGGCCTACCGTATCTTTGCTCACCATAATGGCACTTGTGTGAACCTTTCGTTATTTATCCTTTGAAAATTAGTACGTAACACCATTCGGGCTTTTATTAATTTTTGACAACTGGTGTGATTGGACATAATTACTTCCAGCTACATTTGCGCCATCTGGTGGCCAAAAAAGTACGGTACTCTAATAATATCGGGTAAAAACTTTAAATTTGAGCCCATTTTCCCACCGCCACTAACATAAATCATTGTTAAATTAAGGATTATCTTTGATTGAACATTTGACAGGTTTTCCATACTAAAAACTGTAAAATAAGGTTCGTATTCGTTTAAGGTATAACAAGGCTTTCTTATAATGACGTCATTTTATGTTAGCAATGTTGTTTGTTTTAATTACTATTACGTCCATGGTTAGCAGTGAATCAGTGATAGGAGTTGAGCCCCTTAGGGTTAGGGTTGCCACCCGTACTTTATAATAAAGTATTGTACGTTATTTAAGGTAATTGTACTCTATACTTTATAAGAATAATAAAGTACAAGAAAATACTTTATTTTTGCAAACTTCATTTCTATTAAAGTCGTAAGTATTTTTCGGGAAAGTTATCGATTCGATATCGATATTTATCGATTCGATATCGATATTTATCGATTTATGTTGAATCGATAACTTGCCAGCGCCACTTAGACAATTTCTAATAAAGATGCAGTTGTCTAGTATTTCAATGCAATTGTTTAGTAAAGGTACTAATTTAATACAAACTGCAAAAAGCAATAAAAATATATTTTTAAATGTAATACTAAATAAGAATAATTTGTACTTTATTTTTGTACTTTGTACTTTTTTTTCTTACCTATAATCGTCAATGTACTTTAAATACCAAAGAAAAAGGTGGCAACCCTACTTAGGGTATATAATATGTTCTGTGGGTTGAGCAGTGTCGATAATTTGCTTTGCTGTCGATGAGTTCAGTCCTAGTCACGGTGGGGCAGTTGTCCCACCCTAACTCAGATCAAGAGTAGGTACTTACCTACCGAAACTTATTTAAATCATCTATTAGTTAGGTACTACAAAATGTGTTTAGTATTTAGTGCCAAAACACATATTTTCGCTTTTTCGTAACCACCTAAACTTGTTCGGGTTACCACGATCATTCACTTCCTAATGTCTTTAATCGTATTATCTTTTTTTTTATGGCATAAGCCGGTAAACGAGCAGACGGATGACCTGATGGTAAGCAATCGGCGTCGCCCATGGACACCTGGAACACCAGAGGCGTTACAAGTGCGTCACCAGCTTTTTGGGGATTAGGAGTTTGAGGATCGTTGGGGATTCAGGGATTGGGGAGATTGGGGAAGGGGAAGGTAATTGTGCCTCCGGTAACCTCACTCGCACGACGAAACACAATGCAAGCGTTGCTTCACGTCGGTTTTCTGTGAGGCCGTGGTATCACTCCGGTCGAGCCGGCCCATTCGTACCGAAGCATGGCTCTCCCACTACATTCATTAGTTCTCATTAGTTATCCAATGTACTGAGCTGAAATTTTACTGATATACAACTGAACTAAACAACTAATTATTGATATAACATCCCGTTCATATAACCAATCCAGTGGCCAAATAACACCGCGCGCATCAATACCGTGCTCGTGAAGAACTCAATATCATCATAACTTGTTAAATACTTACAGGATACTAATGAAACTTCACACTTTATATAACAGCTATGTGCGAAGTCAACTGGAATATTGCTCTGTGGTTTGGTCGCCTCAGTATAATGTGCATCAAGTTAGAGTTGAACGCATACAGAAACGTTTCCTAAGACACCTAACATTTGCCAGTGGGCTGCACAAAAGCTTGGTATCGTATAGCGAAAGACTGAAACATTTTAGGATGGACCGCTTGACTGTTGGTAGAAAACTGCTTGACATAACGTTCATGTACAAGGTACTAAGAAACGAGTTTGACTATCCGCCACTATTAAGCTTGTTCAATTTGCGTGTACCTCGACATGTGCCTAGGTGCGCACTAATTAATGCGAATTTGCTACACCAGCCATCTGCCAGTACCAACCTAAAGAGGTTCTCCACCATTTCTCGTCTTTCTAGAGCCTATAACTCTGTCTGTGAGAGGGTTCATTTGTTTAGTGATAGATTGCCAAAATTCAAAAAAGCTGTTCTGGGATTGTTGAGAGATGAAGCTTAGTGTTGTGGTGTGCTGTTGACTTTGTTTTATTATGTTGTTGTTGACTTGATTTGTTCCGCAACCGATTTTATCTATTTATTTTAATGTTAATTTTTTATTATTGAGCTTTTAATGACTGTGTCCTTTATTTTGATCTTTGATTATTCTTTTGTTTTGTATTTAATTTTTGTATTCAGGGTTGACTATTGTATGATGAGTTATAACAAAAGTTGTTACTAATTATATAATTCTTATTTAATTTAATTGATATAGTGTTCTCAACTCAACGCATGCTGTGATGTCCTTCAAATGTTGTGCATTAGCAGTAAGATGTTAATTCCTAATTTTAAGTTAATGATAAAAATGTAGCAACAACTGGATGTCCAAATAAATAAATAAATACATTTGAAGGCCGTTACAAAGTTTAAAATGACGTTTAAAGTAAGTCTTTAGAGCTCTTATTGAGAGTACTGGGACCAATTGAAGTGTTTTTCTATTTAATGAAATAACTTTTAAGCTACGTATTATTTTGGTTTTTTTATTGCACAACAAACTTAAACTAATTCCTAAGAAGCCATGTACAAAATATGATAAGAATCCAATTAACCATTTCAAAGATCTAGCAAAAAAAAACGTTACCCCAGCAAAATCTCGAATAACTTCGCAACCGATGAAAGAAAAAATACAAAACAAGGCACCACATTTATTTTACCTAGACAGCTAATTTTGTAACTAGTAATTATTTAAATATTCCCATTAGAAAAAAAAGCTCTGGCTGGGGTAACGTTATCCCAGCAGGAAATATTTTTGTGAAATAAATAAAAAACTATACGCGCAACAAATTCAATTCAATAAAATCTCAATAATTATTCAATGTAAAAACTATACAACCCCAATCGTAGCTGTTCAAATAGTATTCAAAGTACGGAATATAAAACCAAACTCAATACCATTTAGTTCATTGAATATCTACGCAATACGGATGCAATGGGCTAGCAGTATTGCAACTCAAGAGTACGAAATTTCACAATACCAATGTCGATCGATCGGAATTGCTTTGAATTATATTATAGGAGGTGTTACCTACCAGTGTTACAGAACAAGCAAAAGATTTTTTTTATCTATTACAGAAATAAAACAATACTAATAATTGAAAAAAGAGTTTATTAAGAAAATTTATCATATATTATCACAAACTAAAGTTAAAGACATACTTAACACCTTAACTGTTCTCATACTTTCCGTTAGGTAAGTCCTTTGTAGCAAGGGTCAAGCCTATGGCCAACTTACAGGCTTAAGAAGCAATCATGAAGGTTTAAAAAAACGTAATTAATGTTAATGTAATTTCAATCACAGCAACTACTTCAGCTTTGTTGAACATAATTGTAACATAATTTTGTTCACTACTCTATGTACCATAATACAGGAGAAATAGAAATTATAGAGTAAATTAATTGATTTTGTCAGTTCTTTCCCATTTTCCCCCAAATAGAGGAAAATGAGAATTTTGTGGCACCTTCGCCTGAACTTAAAATTGGGGGAATACCGGAAATAAGTTTCATTTGTCTCCGAAATGTTCATTTCATTGAATGTATATAATAATAAATTGCATTGTCATATAATCATCGTCACAACATGATTATATGACAATGCATTAAAAATATATAAAATTACCTATTTTTTATATATATTTGATGAACGACGTTTGAACACTATCTCGCCTGGTGGTAAGCGATGATGATGATGATTCGATATTAATAATTTTCATCTCTCTAATTTCTATTCCTCCTTTTTATTCGGTAACAAAAATATAAACTACAATATATGAGTAGTTGATATCTGAGTAGCCAAACAATGATCTATTGATAATGAGATCATTTATTAAGCTAAATAAAGGAATGACGTAATTAAGTACAAATAAAAATATAATAATATAAGTAAATATAATTTCAAATTCTAAATCAAACTAAAATTGCGTTAGCCGCATTGTACATGGTGCTTGATTTAATGTTTGATTTAGAATTTGAACTTATTCTTTAGTACATTGTAATAAAGAGTATTATAAAAACATCAAAGCTGCTTAGTAGAAACAGTTCTAGGAGGACATCTTGCCCTGAAGAATACCAATTTTGAATTTACCATGTAAAAATAGAGAAATAATAACTACATACTATGAGTTACACATCCACAAGAACGGTATTCGTTACTGTAATATCTCGATATTACAGGTTTCGTTCATAATGAGATTAAATCCCATGAAAAGCCTTCAATTATGAAATTGTAACCAACCAAACAGTTTTCATCGAAATTTTTACCTAAATACTAATAGATAATAGTATAAAAAACAAAAATAAAATTTTTTGAAACATGATTGCTAACAAACTCTTATTCTAAATACTTTGAGATCTTAACTTTGCGTTTTCTACATTAATTATATAAAAGAAAGTAATTACATATAACCTTAAGCTTGATTTAGTGGTGCTCAGATTCGCAATAATACATTGAGTTCACATTAATAAGTTTTAAGGTCCAATCTAAAAACACACCGCCTTGCTGATGTACATAGTAATTGGGCCTCCGGTACTTCACTCATGACGTAACACGTTTTCTGTGAATTATGGTGGTTGTCACACTTATAATTATTAAGTACTTACGAATACGTAAGTAATGACGAAGGAGTTGATTGTTACGTAATAATTTTCAACTACCAAATACATTAAACAATCACGGTGCATTCCATTACTCAGTAGATAGGTACTTCATTAAATACTTACTTCATATACTACACAATGTTATAATAATATATTGCTGAGAAATTAAGTTCATCTAAACATAATTAGTATTTACAATACAATAATGCTAATGTCACTATACATATCTATGAAGAACGTAGACAAGGTCAGTTTTAAATCCTTTTGTGATCAAAACTTCTACATTTTCTTATAATTCTTTAAATTGAAGTAGTTTTGTAGGTAATTTAGTGCAATTGCTTTTATAGAGCGTTTTATGGAAAATAAAACAGTGGAAAGTTTAAAAGTGAGATTTTGGTTACATTTATCAATTTCTGCATTTTTTTATTACACACATATGGTGTACCTCTTAAGAACTACATTGGAATATTGAATATTGGCCACCCATTATCTTAATTTTAGTGATTAGTATATAATATCTAATTCTTTATAGAAATAAGACATCTCTAATATCGTAATATAAGTATTGAAAGTTTTTACAAAAGTTTCTTTGAGAATTTTTCCATAAGTATTTACAATCAAATAGTATTAAGTTCATAAAATTATATTAGGGTACCATTATTAATGGGCAATATAAAACATGCAATAAGTGATTATAACTGACATGTTTCTGATTTTTGTAATCAATCACAGTAATCTATAAATTGAATACTTAGACAATTATTTTCCGTTAACAAAATAACGCCCTACAGGGCAACAAATGAAAGAAAACTTTTTACATATTTATACGAATAAATAAAACAAAAGAATATTTACGCACAGTCGAATGGAATGGATCATTCTTTGGAATGTGCATGATAAAAGAAAAATGCGTATACTAGAACGCATTAGGACGTGATTCAATATAGCACAGAAATAAAAAAATGCAAAAAAAGACATAATAAAACATATATATACAAACAAGTAGCGACCCTATACCCTACATGATACGTCTGAAAACAGCAGAAAAAATGCTTAACTATTTGTATCCTAATAGAAAAATTTGAATATGTATCATGTAGAGTTATAAACATACGTGGAATGTATTTTAACCTTACGAATGGATACACTATTACAAGTCCACTGTTTAGACACGTAGACGCTGCTCACGATGTAAACAATCGTTTAAATCAATATTGGTCTGTTTAATATAAGTAGATCACATAAAAAAGTTCTTACACAACATTATTTAATCACTTTTCCTTACCTATATATCTGTAAATTATAGTAATCATGATATATTAACTATAGTATACTAAATAAATGCGTAAGTGTGTTTGATTGATTCTTTAGTTTTACGCCTGAAGCGGTGAAGTTTAAATGTACGCTAGTACAGATAAGTCACGTGCAGTGCAGGTCTCGGATGCGCGGTTATAATCTACATATGATAATTATTTGCGCGAAAAACGCTGCAAAAAGCAGTGCGGTAGGTACCAACACTATCCACGCAATTGAATGAAATACATTTTTTATTTCATTACCTTAAATAATATAATTCGCAAGTGTAAGAAAGCAAGGCTGACACTACGTTTTCTTTAATTGGAAATATATTGAAATTGATATTTGAACTACACAAAACTATATGCAGTCAATGTTATTCTACGTAAATACCTTTATAATACATATTATTGAAGTTAAATACTGTAATTTATTAAAAGCAGACATACCTAATAGCAACATGTGATTGTTTACAAACATGGCAAAGTTTACAGATACAGACTAATAAAAATAACTACCTACATAGATTACTTCTAGACAAATGTTGTAGAAAAATTTAAAGGTCCATTTTTAGTACAAGAGTAAAATCTATCTACTTATCAGAGGAAAGGTTACACTAAGATTTTAAATCACATTCAAGGACCCTGCAATTCATTAAATTTGAGGTTCAGTCGCCGGTGGTAAGGGACTGATCTTATGTTCCCGATTCCTTATTTTACCAAAAAATATTGAGTAGTCCTTGTAATCGAAATGTGGTCAGTGACTTTGTAAAACTGCGACTATTAGTGATAACATCATATTTACAAGAAAAAGGGTAAGGTATAATAACTTATTATTACGAAATGAGTTGGCAACAGGAACCAGACATTAGGGAACTATAATAATATACCCTGTCGTTATTAATTAAAGGATGTGGAACCAGTAAATGGTTATCAAAAACTGTTACTCAAATACAACTATGAAATATGGCGGTGTTCCAACATTACCTAATAATTAGTATTAAATAGTACATTGCTGTAGGATAAGAACTAAGTATTTAAAAAAATATAAGTATACAGTTATTGAAAAAGGTTAAGAAATGGATTGCCTACGTAAATATATAATACAAACTACATAGTAGTTTCGGTGGACGACTAATGTTACTGACAGACCTGTCAGGACAAACTAACACGAATGCTACAATAATTCGCATAGAGCTAAACGTGGAGACAGATCAATCACCCGAGGCAACCTATTGGCACCACCCATGGACACCCGTACCCGTAACACTAGAGGCGTTACAAGTGCGTTGCCGGCTTTTTGGGGATAGAAATTTGAGGATTAAAGGAGATTGGACTGCATGAACATGTCGTTTATAGAATAATCAGTAAACGAGAAGACGGATCACCTGATAGTAAGCAATCGGCGCCGCCCATGGACCCCGAAACACCAGAGGTGTTACAAATGCGTTACCGGCCTAATGGGATCGACAATTTTAGAATTGTTGGAGATTCGGGGATTGGGGAGATTTAGGGTATTGGGCCTCCGGTAACCTCACTCACACGACGAAACACATCGCAAGTGTTGTTTCACGTCGGTTTCCTGAGAGGCCGGAGTGGTAACTCCAGTCGAGCCGACCCATTCGTGCCGAAGTATGGCTCCACACTTTTGGTACATTCATCGTTTTCGGCGAAACTTGGGTCATATTTGTCCAGTATCCTTTGAAAAATACATTATAATAAGATCTTTTTCTTTAATCTTTTACACTTACTACTAAAAGTTCACGACAGCCAAACCGTGAATAGATTTCGAGACTGCAATTGATCAACGAGGTTTTACAACTACATTAACTTTGCTGTAGCCCTGCTACGCACAAATATGAATACTCAACTGAGGGAATGTTATGACAGGAATTACCTGGTTTTTTAATATTTTAAACCTTCGTTGTCGGTCCTCCAGGAGTATAAATACGCGAAATAATAATTTTAATCTTAATACTAATAATAACTTAAACCAAGATACCGATTGAACTCGAGACTTGCTAAATGGTGAGAGTCCCGTTGCTATTTAGTATTTATATGTATAGTAAAATAGGTCACGAGAGTTAGCCGTTATTTTAAATAGTTTTGTAAATTTAATATGGGATGTTTTCAGCTCTATTTGAATTATTGTAATAATAATTGGATTGAACTTATGAGGCGCTTTCACCACTTCTTGCATGGTTGGCACCTGAAGCGTTGGTAGTCGGGAGGCGGCACCGTCTGGACGAAGTAAGTGAGACTTGCTCGACAGCTTCTAGCGTTCGCGCCACCGCCATCATACGCTTCACGAGGTAGTTTGTGGACAGAATTAGTACCTGCAAAGATAAATAAATAACATTTTATTTGAATCTCTGTTATCTTTGGTTGACTATTGGGAAAATTGTCTGTTTTGTGTTTTTACTTATTTGAACATGATTATTACATAAAGCAATATACGTAAGCTATACAAATAAAAGAAAGAAAAGTGAATTAATTTGGCATCGCAGCAGTAAGCAACTAATAATACAACAAAATACAATACAGATTCCAACCAATAAACAACCAGTAACAAAAGAAAAAGGGAAAATTAAACAAGTCTGCCTCATTGGCCAAGTGGTCGCAAGTGCAACTGCCGGGCAAGGGGTCTCGGGTTCGATTCCCGGTTCGGGCAAAGTAGTGCTGGGGTCTAAAAAAACTCAGTAGCATGGAGTTTCGAATTGTGTTCGGTGGATTATGGCAATAGGCGCACCCCTTATTACATGGGACTCATAACATAAATAGTGAAAAGTGGGTGTTACATTTTACATTACACCACGCCTTTTATCCCCGAAGGGGGAGGCAGAGGTGCACATTATGGCACTTAATGCCACCGTACAATGTAACACCCACTTTGTGAGGGGGTGAGCCTATTGCCATTTACCGGGCAACTACTGAGAATTTTTTAAAACTCAGTAATACTTTGCCTTTTCCCTTCCCCGGCAGTCTTACTTGCGATCACTCGGCCAACGAGGCAGTCAGTGTTACATTTTACATTGGCATTAAGTATCGTAACGTGCTCCTCTGCATACTGTTTCGGGAATAAAAGGCGTGATGATGATAAAATTAAACAAAAAAAAGCAAAGCTAAGGTAGGAACATCCAGATGAAAACTACATAATATGTATAAAAGTTTAATGGAAATCGAAAAATAGGTTAATTACCTTAATTTCAGGTCTTAGCGGCAGTACCGCTACTAACCACCAGAGCCACGCTGGGCCGTCAGTAGTGGACCACCATTCGTCATTGCCATTACTCTCTGGCAGAGTGCCAAACGTAGTCTCAATGTCCTGCAGTACATCACTATCCAAGCTGCTCAACCAGAGTAGAGCCCGCAATATTATCCTGTTCCCTAACAGTCTATATGCTAACACCTCCATCTCATTGGTCGGACAAACATCTTGAATGGGTAAAATGCGCGCCACTTCCAATCTGTAACATACATTTCCTATTAATTTGAAATTCTATTTTTGAAACTGTGTTTATACATTCTAGTTACTGAATCGAGATTAAAAGTTGCCGGAGGCCGAGTCCAGTTCAAAAGTCCGGCAACTCACTCTAATTTATAACTACTCTAATTGCTCCTATCCTATCCCATAAATATAATAAAAATACGTACCCGTCTCTAACTCCTCTTTCAATCACTTTAAAACGTGTCAAGCCTATAGTAGACAGAATGGACCTGCCATCCTCAAAATGCACGCAGTCACGCACTTCCAATATCTGCAGGAAAAAAGTTCTTTGAGACACAGAACATTTTCAACTGACTCTATTAACTTTTGTTTTATTTAAGCATTTTGTTTTATGTAAGCAGATAATTAACTTTTGTTTTGTTATTTACTAGCTTCTGCGGTTTCGCCCGCGTTCCCGTGGAATATAAAGTGGTTTATTTATGTGTTATTTCGGACCATAATCTACACCTGTTGAAAATTACATCTAGATCTCTTCAGCCGTTTTGACGTGAAAGAGTGATGAACACATGCATCCTCACAAAGTTTCGCATTTATAATATTAGTAGGATTCATACAATTCAAATTTGGTTGAAATATGAACATTATTTCGTTCCACACATTTATACATCAAAAAGTTAGTTAGTACTGATCTATGTGAAACAACTGAATATCAATTTTGTGATAAATCCAAACTAGCCTATATTAATCGTAATGATTTTTATAAATTACAATAAATACTTACCGTGCCATAGTCAGTATAGTCCTGTCCCCTATCGCAAGTCACCATACCGAACTTTCTGGAACCGGACTCGAGCACGCGTCGGATCATTAGCCAGTAACGAGGATCAAAGATGTACAGCGGGCATGGCACACTAAAAATACACAAAAATACCAACATATTACGTACAGATATGTACTTGTAAATAAATATCTTAATCTTAAATTACAGCTGACATCATTATCAAGTTCATGTCAGTCCCAAGACGTCTAGTGCCAAACATAGGCCGAAGAGAGGCTGAAGAGAGGGTGATCGGCCGGTTAACTATAGCTGACCTGCGTCAGATGGTAGAATAGGGCGCCGTAACGTCTCTCAAGCCACTCCTCAGACGCGACTTACTGCTACGACATTAGAAAACGTAGACCATGGATGGTTTAAGATTTCACATTTCCGAATATAACAAACCCGGACATTTAGCCAACGACGAAACAATTTTTATAAATAATTGTGTATTCAGAGAAGTTTTAAATGACAACTATTAAAATCGGATTCGAGCGTCTGTTTGTAATATTAAAATTAATAATACTAATATTGAACATATGGTCGGATTTCGACCACTGGGCGACCTCTAGTAACTAGTATTTTGGGTCTAACGATCTCTGTAAAGAGTTATAGTCGCTTAAACAATCGTGTGTTGCACACAAAAAGTATGTGCGCACCAATACATACAAATGGTAGGAGAAAACTTCACCGGGTATGCGGATGTCACCACCGCGGTCAGTAATCGGGAAAGAGCATACGACACGTTATTGGTGCGTACTAATCAGCGAGCATATTCCGTGTTTATATTTCTTTCTGTTCCTGTCACATTTGATCTGGTCTTCATTTAAAGTATTTAAACAGATACATAATCATTCCCAGCGATGGTAAACTTGCAGAAGTCTAGACAAGCAATAACGTTTACCTTACTCAATAAAACCGTCACCTTATTATTATGACTCCGCTGTTCATCTGTCCATCAACAGTCTGTCTGTTGCAGGACCCCTTTTTTAAATTCTTTCATCTCTGTGGCCGATATATCAACTAATACTAAAGGTGTATTTCGTGTTGCATTACACAGAGCAACTGTGATTGTCCAGTTTTACAAGTTTTGATATTGGTTTTTTAGCAATAAGAGTTGAGAGTTGCCAAAAGTCTACTAGACTATTATAAAGTGGCAATACTGGTCGCCCCAGGTTACATCCAAAAAAAAAAAGATGCATTATGCTGTGTGTCAAACTAACGAACCTATCTCCATACAAAACCCGTGAGTTCAGATGTGGTTCAGATTGATATTTGACATTTGTGTAGAGTTTCTGTTCAAAATTTTGATTAATTAAATAGTAGGTACTTACGTTGGGTAGGCGACCGTACATGTGAAGATAGGTATAAGGTCAGGCTCCGGAGGTTCAGGGATACTAATGGCATTAATACTTCTCAGCGCTGCCTCCACGAATACCGTGTTCATAGTCTGAGAAACAAATGTCACATAAAAATTAATATACTATCTGTTACTGTAAATACTGGCTAATCTTAGGCTTTACACTTACAAATGCTATGTAAATTACATGATCACAGCAGTATCGTTATAGAATGCCATTAGGGGATCGATTCTCATACTTATCCGTCAAGACCCTTTAATTTTGCGTTTGAGTCATCGAGGGTACTGCTGTTTTATCAAAAAATCTATGATACAACTCACTAGTTGTCCTACCACTGTAGGGGATCTCAAATTTTTCAAGGGGCTCATACCCATGCTCGTTTTCTAATTCAGTTTTAAAATAAAAAGGAGTAGATACACCCCTTTAAATTTAAAATATTCTATAAATATTTAGCCAAGTTCAGCGTGATGACAGATCAATCATAATTGAATCGTTTGTATTATCTCATTTTCCGATATGAAATAAGGCATAATAGGTACAATGTGGCTTGCCAGTAGCAATCTATTATGTTCTACACAAACAAAAGCATTCTTTAGGGGCATGAATTGCTCCGTAAAGTGTGAATTTTAACACGGGTAGGCGATACAATATTTAGAAACTATGGAACTCACGTTCCAAACAAACGTACTTTAACCGTGGACTGCTAATTACATGTTGAAACATGCGTACGGTTAGTTTAAAACCGACACAATCGATTTAGCAATAAGAAACAGTACAAAACTGTGCTATAACAGTCAGTGTTAATGTGATAACCAATCATAACGATTAGGTAAGTTGAATATAGTTCAATGGTCATTACGGCTTACGTTGATTATAAAATAATTTTGACATTATGAACCTATTCCATCTGTAGGGTTCAGCTCACTTTTTTTGCAGAAAACTTACGTACAAAAGTATCGTGTTTATAAAGATAATGATAAGTTACTCACAAGTGATAGCATAAATTCATTTAAAGTGCGCAGACATAAGGGACAGCGCTTCCGGTAGTCCATTGTGCGTTCTAGACATATGCGGCAGAACGTGTGTCCGCAAGGGGTTGTGACGGGGTCGGTAAAAGTAGAACAACACAATATGCACTCCATGTCAGTCGGCTTGATCCACGACATCGAGCACAGCCTGCGCACGGAACGGTTCAGGAACGGTATCAGTGCCCACGGGTCTTTGTTAAATGTAGATATTGCCTGCAAACACATTATACATATTTTTTAAACATTATGTAAGCAATCAAGGAAGGTATCAGGCGATGAAGTCATTTAAAAAAGGTCCTTCCACCTTATCAGTCGATCGTCTTAAGCTGACGTCATCAGCAAAATATGTAACGTCATCAAGACCTTCAAAAACATATTTTTACATACACGCTACCGATAAAAATCTTATAAGTTTCTAGAATAACAATTTACGAGCAACATACAAAGAGTCTTAATAGTATGAACTATATGGACATCCTCTGATAACTATTACATATTCGTCTACGATTATTATCGGAGGAACCTAATACATTAGTTATACTGATAATATAGTACACTAGTCAAAAATGGATTAAAAACATCCGAATATGAAGGTAATTTCTCTTCATGAAGTCATAAGATAACGACAACACAAACACATCTTAACTGCTTACACTTGTCATTATAATGTTTTCATAATGTTGTTTATTTTCAATCAGTTCGAGATTTCTACATCTTTAGTGGCAGGGTAATTAACGAGACCGATAACATTACAGTTACACTGTTGATGTGGTAATTCGAAGAAATTGTTTTATCAAAATAAGGAAAATGAATTAGAAAACAAACTCGGGGGAGAGTTGAAACAAAGTTTGAAAGAGGCTTTGACGATGACTTAATAAAAGTTCTTAAAACTTGTTAAGTCGTTCTCGTTGCTTACACGTGGGTTATTAAACAAAATACAATAAAATTTCATCAATAACTCTGTCGAATATTATGTTAATTTTTCGATATAAAAATTGTTGTCAATAGTACCGTCTGATTTTATTCTGTTTATTTGGAAATAGATAAGCTAACTTTTTTATGATAGTTCCAAAAATAATTGTCGATATGTGGGTACAATAAGCACTTCTGCGTCTATGTCTGGTTTTGGACGTATCAATGTATGTTATTATAAACGGAATACCGAACCTGAGCCAGTAGTGGTCGTGCCAACCGCATGCTTGGATGACCAGCACCTGCTGCGAGAGCGAGATACGGCACAGCCTCGAGCCGCCTTCCCTGCTGCAGCAGCTCCAGGCCATGGTTGTACCGCGCCTGGGATGACATATAAGTAACAATCAAATAAATTATTATTCAACTACTAAAGAATAATCGCGGACCTAGCTAGCGATCACTCACCATGATGTCATTTTACTAAGCCCCACAGTCTTTATTTACAAACTGACGGCACAGTTCAATGCCCCAAAGTCATTCGAATGTTCGCTAAAAATATGATTGTGTGGTGTGTAGTATTTTGAAACGTTTTGATACGGGTGACAAAACGTGACCGCCTTATCAGTTGGTATACTAGAAGGTAAGTAAGTGCATGTACAATTGTACATATCAACAAACAACATTAACTACGTATACCAAAATAAACACAAGACTTCAGACCCCATTATTGAATAAAATTTTAATATGAAAGTACCTAATTGGTTGCGATTTGACAGTGTAATGATTTTGCTAGTTTGTACGAAAACTGAGACCAAGTGCTCAGTTTCTACTATAGATACGTACAGAGAAGTCTAGAGAAATTGAATAATGGTAATCTATGCACAGAACTTGATTGAAAAATATTGAAGTTAAGTTTGTGAATTGTGACTTAGCAGGAAACCCCTTATATTCAACTTTTTTAAGGACATCAAAATAATTAATATATAACAGAAACCTTGTTACGAATCAATACAGAATGAAGTAAATTAGGTCTTGTGTTTATTCTGAGACAGATTATGTAAGAGTGACTCATAAAAATATTGTTTACCCGAGGTGACATGGGAACTCGCTGATTATCCCCGCTAGGGTAAGCAACTTTTGTCTCGCACCGGCGTCGTTTTGTACCCCTCACTGTAAAAGATATATTATGTCAAAATAAACTTTTGTTTACTCTCATTCCGTAATATAATTGAGATGGAAACGACAACATCTACAATGCCGGTACTCCAGGCTTAAGAAGTATTTCGAAAGAAAGCTAAGTCAGTAGTGTAGGATAGTGCCGAACTTAACAAAGAAGCCCCCATACGTCTTGTGACATTTCGTCCATACTACTACATAATACGCGGTTATATAAGCCGCAATGGAGTCAGAGTTTGTGTTTCATTACGTAACGCCGGTGTGAGTTACGAGCGCACAGCGTGTTGCTAGACTCGAGATCTGAAGCACGCCAAGGTCGCGATCACTGCAATCGGTGACAGTTATGAGAAGTGGCAACGGTTTATTGCTACACCCCTGTTGCTAAACATGTTTCTGGGTGGTTAGCAGTTTCACACACGGTTACAATTCTCTTAAGAAACTTGGCCACGTGGAACAGTTTTTTAAACAACAAAAATATTTTTTTTAATAATAATCGAGTACCCGGTTAAATGCTTTTTCATTGATATATTTTATCTGCTTTTTAACATTGAGATCGCTACCTAATCTTGCAGTATCTCGAGAACAGTTAAAGTTGATAACAATATAACTACGGGGGCAGCATGTACCTAGTTTATAAACGTCATGCAACAACTTTTTGACGTATATTTCAAAACACAAACCGTGTTTTAAAAATTCAACAAAATAATAAATGAATATCGCTGATGCGCATGCTTTGCAGATATCTTGATGCTCTCAAGTCACAATGAAATCATTCAAGTTCGCCGCTGCGCTGCCACAGTTGACAACGACCTAAGCCGTTCATTATCAATCCTAGGTATATTACGCGGGCGATTGTTACGTATTGAATTGAAAAAATTATATAATAGGAATTATCAGTGGCTACAGGAAGAGTTATGAGATAGCTATTAAGTAACAAAATGCGTATAAGTACTCTGTTGAAAAACTTTCGATTCATTAGCCACGCTGTACCTAATAATTGAAACTATTATAATATTGGATACTAAGTATCTGTACAAGAAAAACTGAAACAAAAATAATCTATTTTGTCACCTTGCTTAAATTGGAAAGTTAAAGATTCTTTATACAGTCGTATAATCGATGTCCTAATAATTACACCTCATTACCGTTTTTATTTGTGTTCGTGCATGTGTAGTTAATGATCGCACTCGCACTATATACACATAATACGAGCGACATAGATTACAGGCAGGTTTTATTTATTAATATCAGAGTTATGAACTTAATTCTAAATTAAAAATAATTAACATTTTTTGAAATGCTGTACATTCTATGATTTTGATGATTACGGCGTATTTTTTGTTAAGTTTATTAAGTTTGCCATTAGCGAATATTAGGGGCTGTGAAGTGTTATAGGAAAAGTTTTTATAACTTTCAAAATATTAACGAGAATTAAGGATGAAAGGAAAGAATGAGTTCTTTTGTTGGCAGAGGGTGAAGAAAAACATTTAGGGATAAAGCCGCCGCGTAGGTAGCCATTCACAAGTGGTAGTTCCATTGTTTTATTGTTTAATTTTTGTATTATTCATTTAGTAGGTACTTACTTCAAGGTTCTTTACTTATTTTACGAATATTTCTGTTTCATTTAATGTATTTGCCTTATGGTTGCGTAACAATTGTTTTATAGAACTTTTGTGGTTTCGAATACTGTTTCAAACATTTACCTTAACATATTCATCACACTTTTCTTGTTATGTTATTTTCTTTAAGCAAATTGAAGAAAGAGAATTGGTTGAATGCTACTCTACAGAGTCATTTAAAATTCCACAAAGTATATTACAAATTAGTTTGTTTATGAAATTAAATAAATAGCACCTACATCGGGTGCATGTATTTTTGATGGGATGGGAGTAGATTTCTTCAACGATCGTACCATATACCTACGTAGTTTAGTTACTGGAGTCTCAAACTGTTGCATCATATATTCAGCATAGGTAAACTTCATTTGAAGTGGATCAAACTCCTTACACGTCCCCAGCTTAAAGTATCAACCCTGCAGAAGATGTAATGAGGTCGTTTAAAGGCCACTCCGTGTTATGACTGTCAATGCGAGTGCGACAACGGATGACATGGATGGCTTCCAACATTACCACTTGGCTAATTTTAATTTTGTATTTTCATTTTTTTGAAGGTTACTGCGACGATTTGCGGTGACTACAGGTCATGAGGCCACGCTGAACTTATTTAAATAATGTCATCTCGGGTGTTTCTCTATAGTTTATAGTATACTCTTAATTCTCATAAGGAATATTCCCTTTTACTTAGATTTCAAGTTTAAGAAATGATGACCAAAGACTGTCATGTCTTTATGCTCATTATAATTTTTTATTTATGTTTGTCATTTCCTTTTTCTGTATGTACTGTTATTAGTGGTGTACAATAAAGATATACATATGACCAATTAAAAGTGTTCAAAGAATCTATTACGTATAGCAAACAACGTTCGCGGTCTCTTGGACATTTGCTTTAGAGATTAGACGTAGTATCGTGTTTATTTAGTGTTAATTTAACAAAAGGCAAACAATACAATAGATTATGTTTCATTACCTAGGCAGTCGTTATCTTTTGCCTACTGCAAATACTTACTGCATTTAATAATAATTTATACAAAGTGTGACAGAATTAAATAATTGACTACAATATTTAATGGGGTTTTCATGAAGGCGTTCTGGTACGTTTTTAACCCAGTACACTCAGCTACTCAGCATCTACTTTCATAGTTCCATAAGTAGCAAACATGGATGGTAACAACAATTAAAGATTTCCATGCCGTAAGTAGCGTCAATGGCTATGGAAAGACAAATATTTTTTGCTTCCACAAAGATGCTATAACAAAAGCTGTTAATTTTCATAGCCTGACAAAGCTCCTGCAAGGTCTTGTTTAGTCAGTTACACGTTGCATTACTGTTATGTTATTCTATTTAAATAAATCCCAAAGAAAATCAGACAGTTAGGGGGGAATCTCAATTTGTGATTGACGTAAGTATTGTACTAAATCGTGTCGTGAGTAATCGCGGCCGTCTAGCGAACACTGAGACCTATATAACGGGCGTAACGTAACCTGCGACCCAGCGTTCTCCATTGCATCGTCGACAATGTTGTTACATAAGAGCAATGTAACAAACAAATGGCCGATTTACATAATAGCCTTGTCGGTGCGCGATTATCGTCGTAAACGCCCACGCGATACAGACGTGGCACTGCTGTAACGCTGCTTTATTATATTATTCGAAATAACAATAGCAACAGTGTTGCATCCCGGTACGTTCAGACTCGTTGGGTAACAGGATATGTGCATTGTGCTGACTCAGACATTCAAGCACAGAGGTTGCATTGCGACGCACGCTGCGCCAGGTATACTACCTGTACCTAACCGGCTACTTCTTTGTCCCTCTTAATCCTACTTTACGGAAATATCCTTAAACCTTTGTGCTGACCGCGTTGCCATTTAAGTACTTAAATTGGCGAGAACATTTTACAAATAAACAACTACTGCTTCAAGGCTATTCACAAATTGATTGGGTTACATAACAGTTTTAAAGTTGTGGACGTTTCTTCGTAATAAACATTAACAAAACCAGAACTTTTTTATGGAATTACATATTATATGTCCACACTTGTAAGACTCTCCTTTATAACCTTTGATGAGACAGTTGAAAATAGGCCTGGGTCATAAAATCGAACAATGACTACTTATATTTTTTACATAATATTTATGTAGGTATTAACCTTTCCACGGAGTATATTTAATTAGTACCAACATGGTCGACTACCTGTAGCTCCGTAGAACCTGAAGGTTACAAGTGTATCTTCTTAATAAAAATATACCTACTTATATAGTTCGTAGCTGCACAATTTTGTTACTTTAAGTTATATAATAAGTTATATTAAGCACACAACTATTGTATTGTTCAACGTAATTACAGAAAAATTAACGCAACTGAGTAAACAGATAGGTACACTGAAACATAATATAATTATGTTTAGTCATCCATCAGGTAACATAATACAATAAATCATAATAATTTGTATTTAGTTTGACTGTAGTGAGCCAGAGTGAATATAGCATTGAGTTATTGAGTTAAATACCCAAAACTATGAACTCACAATCATATTTTTAAACTTACGATTGATCTTCCTACACCTGTATGTATTTAACATACACCTAACATAAGACATATTCTCTTTGATTTTTAATTAAAATAAAGATAATTGTTTACATTTTCCGCGGGGCTTCAAAACCTTCAACAGTCGTTGCATAACCTGCCTCCCTCGAGTGACTTTCATGACCTGCGCGGCGCGATAAGCGACTGATATTTAATGTTCTCTTTTCTTTTGTTCCAAGATGTTTAACTTATTATTATTTTATTTTAAATATATATACCTACCTATTTACTGTATTAATTATTATTTTATGAAATTTCTTAAACATTACCTACGTAAGTTAGTGGTCCTATGCTAGCTGTTGCAATAGATCAACCTACCATCAAATCTCTACTTGACCTACAGCTTTCACCAAAAAAGGTACAAGAAATATTCTAATTTATTAGGTTTATGACTACTACTACATACTCTACATATAAACATAATATAAGTTTGCCGTTTAATCCCGCCGGAGATGTGCGCAAGTACAAATAATTTAACAAAACACTCATTAGGCTCCAAATAATAGGGGAGATAGCCTCATTGATACCTAGACAATTGATATTTTTACAAATGATTTAGGTATTTCTATTGCTGCATTATATTCAATTAAGGGGGCTTCAAGATAATAACCGCGATATTTTGACTTGAACTGATTTGTTACAATAATTTATATAAAATGGGCAACACAAATAAAAACAAACACGAAAGCAAAAGGCAATGAATGAATGAAAAGAAATAGCATGAAAAAAAACCATCGCGTAAGCGCAAAATAAAAAAAAATGGGTAATCGCAAAATGAGTTGCTAAGCGCAAAATGGGCAGTGACAGTTACAGTTTTAATTATTACAATCTGGGTTCTTTAAAGATAAAATTTAAAAAAAATCTGGTAGACAAAAAACAAGTCTACGCTGGTTAGGTCATAACATGATATTAATTACTTCTTATTATACGCAGATATTCAATGTAACGCCCATTTTTACCAGATATGTATATTGTATTATTTCTCACTCTCTTAGAAAGCCAAGCCTATTGCCATTATTTGGGGGTCTAGAAGTAGGTAATTTAAATAACCAAAAAACGCAAGCCCATTTTGATAAACGAACTTAAACTATTTTTTTTATAAAAATTAAAATTATAGCACTGTTATAAACATTCGCATTAAAGGAAAGTTTGCATAATATAGTTAGTTAATAGAAACTTACATGTGTTTCGCAGTCCAGGCGAATCATCGGCGGCGGCGGCGGCGGCGGCGGCGGCATCATTTTCTTTGGTTTTGATCGACACACGGCTACCAAAAGAAAAATATAACGTAAACACAAAGAAAACAATACAATATGACGCCGTTATTTGAATATCTATTATCGATATAATTTTGTTACTTGTACTTCATTACTAATAATAATGTAACATTTTACAAACCTTGTATTTACATTGAATTTAGATTTTGCAATCAGATCCCGTATCATAATGTTGACGTGGAACGGTTCTGAAAACACGCTCCCGCACGGACACGTAGTGTTTTCTAACGCGCATCTAAAACAAAATAAAGGATTAATATCGAAAAAGATAGCGAGTTGTATTAAAATTGCAAATAGAGCGCATAAGACGTACTTGGAGCATCGTGTATGTCCGCATTGTCCAGTGATTGGATGCAGGGGAAGTAGACCGCAGTTCAGACAAGACATTTGTGTTTGATACTTATTTCTCAAACAGAGAGCTCGAGCATATCTGATTACTCTGTTAGCCGCATCCATAGCTCGAGGACATCTTGACAATATTTTATTCAGTTCACGAAGACGTCTTCTGTCCAATGCTGGCTGTGTGTGACTGTGCGCCATCGTATCTCTTCTTAAGTTAAGGTTTCTGAACTTGTTCATAGAGAAAGCCTCGTTGTTAAGGACCGGCAATGGCACATTAGACATAGCAGATACAGCTCTCACTGAAATTGTGTTTAAGGTCTCGTCTATGGATATCGAATCCTCGCTTCCGTTATTCTGCCGGTTAGGTGGATCTTCCGCAATATTTGTTTCTGGCGTAGTTGGACTGTACCTTAGATGAGTGTAGTGACTTTCTGGTCTTACGATATTAGTAGTTGCCATATTTGATTCCCTCTCTAAATAAGCCTGGTAACAAAACGATTTATTTAATTATTAGGCTGGCACCGATCAAAATCTCGATTTTCAAATGATTTCCAGGTTAACAAGTAAAGTAGGTATGTGTTAGATGATTAGAGAAGCATTAGTGAATGAAGATATAATATGAAAAAGGAAAACTAAACTTGTTAAAAACAAAAGGTAATTTAATAACGTACTACCTGACGTTTTATTCTACAATATTTACAAAACGTTCATTGTATTACTACAAAATCAATATTTTAAAAATTGTCACGTAAAAATTTTAATATACGAATCGACCGATGTAAAATGGTGAACTTGGCCCAGAACATAAGAACCGGTTGTGCGGTGGCAGCGAGTCGGTGAGGCCTAGCGAATACGACGCAACGCGAGCCGATTGCACCTCACCTAACAGATTTATGCAACCGACGAGCAACGCGACCGCTACTCGTAGCGCTGATTACTGCACTGCGCGCCCATCCGTTCTGTCCGTTACTTCAATATTTAGGTCACTAGGTAATAAGCATTATTTGAACTTTTGCGACCTTTTCCGATCTACCTATGCTTTGTCAATACATTCATCAGCATAATTGATGTTTCTTTACCAAAAAGAGTGTCTATGTTGAAAATTAATAATTTAACCTTTGCTAAGTTCAACGTGACTCCCTACTAATAAATATTATTCAATTAAGTATATACCTCTATACGTAGCAAAAGGTCAACCAATTGCGAGCCGACTGTCCAACTTTCGAACAAAGGGTTTTGAACAATTACCTCTTTTTGTACGGGAGCCCCTTTAAATATTACATTTCTTACGCTTCAAGAGATATAGCCTGTTAATAGACAGACAAGACAGTGAAGTCTGGGTAATAGGGTTCCGTTATTATCCTATGGTACGGAACCTTTTATGAATAATTAAAATTAGGGACGTAGACATACATTTATTTACAATGAAACAATGAAGTTCTAAGCCTATGAAGTTCTTTCTAAGTTCTAATGGAGCAGATCCCAGATTAAACTTGACTTCAACCCAATTCACAAGCATGATGTATTTAACAATGAATTTTGTGCGTGTGAATGAAATAATATTAATGAAGCTAAGTGATATTCGAAGCTTGTTATATGCCCCAAGCATTTAACTTACACTGGGTAAGTAAATAAGTAGTAACATTTGCTTTGATGAGGCATGCGTGAAGGAAATAATAAAAGTTCGAAGACGTGGTTCTTCACACCGCTCACCTCTGTACAATCGCAAGGCATTGGACGCATCGTCGTTGTTCTCTGCACTGCTGCCTAGAAGTTTTTATTTCATACACCATGAGACACATGTTATCATTAGGCACCAAGTTCTGATCACGGCATAATTATATCACGGTGCCTTACTGTGCTTCTCAAAGTCAATTTGTAAAGCAATGATGTGTGCTCTACTCGAATATCGACAGCTAGAAACGATGTCACTCGAATGTTACTATCGAGTGCAAGACTGGGCCGGCCAAGGCGCATGCATAAACATCGTCGTGGCTCACTTCTAAATATAATATTGTTTATAAAACATGTATTGTGTATTCGAATCGTCGACAACTGTACTTAATGTTGCTTGGTCGACTACGACATGAACACTGAATGAAACTTACAATGTCCTCGAGCGAAGACAACAACATGTTGACGCCAACAACATGTCGACCCAAAGCTCCGTGACCCTCCTCCTGTGACAAATTATATAAACGTAAATTTTCCGCTAAAGTATAACAAGTATTCAAGAAATCGTTCTAGAAATCATGTAACTTACATTTTCCTCGTTACTGATATAACTAAATTCGTCGCTCGATGTGCTGGCTGCCATTGGATTAGGCGGTGATGTCTCCACCTGTCATGGGATAATTAACAATATTAAGTTTCTATATTATTAACCAATACAAAAAAAAAATTAAAATAAATGCAACGTAAATTTTCTTAGTCATTATATGTAGATACCACCGTTCATTATTCTGCCCGAGCTAAGATCGACCGACATAATATCTTGGCTGGTAGTGGAACTTGCAATTATTTGGTCATCGAGATTAATCGGAAAACTGAAGGCATAGAATCACGTAGTACGTACAATAACCAGGCAAAGGTTATGGCCACTGTCTAGTTGTATATCTGTGCCTCGGTTCTCGTTGCTCATAAAATCCTACATTAGTGATAAGTCCGACATCTGGAATAACCAAATATAACTTGTAGCTACAAAGTTATTTGAAACTCGACTTTAGCTTTTGGAGGAAACTTTTGTAGTACCTAATACAATTTATTATTATTTACGTAATCATCAACACATTGTAACGCGTAAAGTACACACGCCAGACGTACAATATTTATGATACAGATTTCATTTACAAATTACATTAAACCATTTGGGTATTCTCAATAAAGATTCCTTATTAATTCTCTTCATATTGGGTTATCGTTATCAGTATAAGCAATTAATTAGGTAGGCATCGCATAAGTCGTTATCCCGCGAGGTGAATTGTACGTAATGTACGTATAGAAATTCTATTACTTTTGCCAATTACATAATAACATGTCGCGCGAATCAAAGCGGGAACCATAGAAGACTGTTGCACCAAAGTAATCATAATGTCCATTCCAATTTCCAGCTAAAGTTGTTTTCATTATCAGGTTTCCATTTTCATTACATATTAATATTCATGTCTATCAATTCTGTAATGTTGTTATTTGTTTTTATATTAACATCAAATAACTATGATTAATAAAGTGATAACCGTCGGAAATATTTACTATAGTACGTACCTATTATATGCGTTTGTACGTACATTGTATATTATGTAAATATATCGATTGAGATCGTTTTAGTTCCCTTATCATTGAATGGTTGAGCAGTTATTGATTAATTGTTCAATATGCTACCGGCAACCTATGTTTAAAATAAATAAACAAAGTAATTGTGTCTATTTGCTGACCAAACATATATTATTTATAGCGATGTTATCATTTCTTATAGGTCCAAAACACATGTTTTTTATGCCCTAATTTTTATCAAAATAGATATGTATATACCTATATATGGGAATAAAGTAACATTACATTTACATTTTAGTACATAATTAGCGAATATGAATGACATCATAGTTTTTGACTGTTTTATAATTGTATGATGAAGATTTCCAGTCAATTGATTGGTTGAAAACAAGTACTGTGGCCAAGGTCTGGGAAAGTCTATACACGGGCATATAACACACCACTAACCTGCCTATGAAAGTTTGTTATTGTAGACTCTATTAATTAACATGATACCTATGTAGTTGATTTTAATTGTGATTAGTTATTTCAAACATATCCAAACTGCGAATGGGTGCTAAATAATATTTCAAGAAATCAAAAACTTCGACAGTACCACGACATGATAATTTATTAATGACTGAGTAACAAGGTCATTGACCGATAACGTCGCGCAATTTTATTATTTGTAAACAATCATTTTAGAAGTATAATTTATCTATTAGATTCATTTACCTACAATGAATTAGCTTTTGCTTGTGATTTACTCGTGTGTGCCATAAGTAACAAATGGTTACGTTGTGGTAAAATTTAAACCTAAGGTTGGGAATGAATCATAAATCAGTAATTTGATATGATTCCGTCACGGCTTATCAGTAGACACCGTTATGACTCTTTGAAATACATAAATTAATCATCGTCTGCGATATAGTATTGCCTACAACGATTCTTACGCAAAACGAAGTAAGCGGTGGGCTTACATAACGTGACCTACTGGCACACTGACTCTGTGCCGCAGCCGCAGCGCATGCCTTGCTTGCACTGACTCGGCATGTACCGCCTACTTACATTTGCTGCTTTATCGTAACTTAACTATTGCGAATGCTATAGATAAAAGCATTTACTGCTCAATGTATTGGAGCGGAAAACCCAACGCTGCGCTGTTTAGATGTTTGTGATTGGCTGCGATTGTTACCATTAATTTAATATTCTTCGTGCAGCTAGACTATGCTCTGAATTCCATTAGTAAAATTAACAATTTTGAACATTAATAATAATTCAACATAGTGTCAAATAAGTTATTTATTACTTACGTAATGATCGAATCAGAAAATGCGTTTTAGATACTTACCTACAATATTATTAGTCAGTAATAATTCATTTCTATAGGGAATTAGGTATTAATCAGACCAAGATTTTAAATACAATGAATATTACCTAGCCCTATAGTAAGTAAATGGTTTACAGGTACAGACCACATGGAGTCGCCTGCTTTGATCAACTACCTATGATATGATGACGTGATCTTTGTTGTGGAACCTTGTTAAGAAAAAATAATCCTTGGTTGCTCCTAATTACGAGGCTGATTACGGGTTAAATTATGTTAACTAATTATTAGTTACAGTTTTAGTAAACACGCGTAGATCGATGAGTGTGTGGCTAAACAATTAGGCACTGGTGGAACATCTTTGACTTGGATAAAAACAGCTCGTAAAATTGTGCTCATTAAAATATTACTATCATCTTGCGAATTCCAAAATGAACAACTTTTGAAAACTAAGTCTTTATTTACATTACCATGTAATGACGTTTTAAGTATGCGCTATTATAGGACATACCTAACAAATAATTGTATAAACATCCAGCCAGTAAACTTTTATTACTAGTAATTTTCTTTACGATCAACATAATGATTTTCCACTAGAGTGATAAACTACCATCACAGGACGCATAATATGAATGGCATTGCATTTTTCATTATTTATTTACAATGGTATTTACGATATATCTATCAGAGGATTTATGATCTGCTTTATAATGCAATGCAAAATTAAGAAGGTATGAAAGTATTTTTATAGGTTTTCTACACTATGAATTCAATGACACACCAAATTCGTCACCATTTTTTGGGAATGAGGTGACTTTTAGCGTGAGGTCAATATATTGTGGCTATTCCTATTTAATTCTATTTGCGCATGTCCAGACTGGCATGTTTAACCTCCACCAGAGTTCATTGCAGCGGTCATCGCCTTACCTCAGGCGAGATAATAATAACTTATTTCGTTGCTACATAATTTTTCGAAGATGTTTATAAATTAGTGTTCATGGAATGTGATAATGACGTAGGAAGGATACAATACAGCTTAAGGCTTGTTTGATTTAAAATATATTTAGGAACCTAATCTACCTAGACATGTATATAAAAATATGTTTACAGTTCTTTTGTTTGGCTAGCTTTAGAATTTCTATCAAGATCTAGAGGTTTTGGATTAAAACCGTTTATTGTAATTTCGACCGTTACTCGATTTGACATAACTACATAATTATTACTACTGAAGCTGGAACCCATAAGATACGATGCGTACCTATGTCAGCGGTCTTTTCCCTACGTATGTGTGGTAAAATGTACCTACCTAACTACCGAGGTAGGTAGGCTCATAGGCTGGCTGCTGCTGATAATCAGCGCCGTGGACTCGAATCTTCGGGCCTGGGTGGGCCACTACATATGGGAACCATTTTGCGCTGTTTAGACGTATGGTTTTGTGTCATTTGTATGTTTTAGGTACTACAACGTACACAGGTTTTTCTTTCTATCTAAGTGTCAAAAGTCTACTACCTCTTATCGGTGTGAATTCCCCTGAATGATTGCGATCTGGTCGATAACTATTTAATAAATAATTCACGGCTCGCTAGTACCTAGTACGGTACCTGCTACCTTAGTACCTACATACGTTTAACAACAATGCTTGTTAGGTTTTAACCCGCGTAATCTAGGTATCTATTTTGGACTACTGTTTGGTTATCCCTGAAAAATACCTGTAAATATTCTAAAACATACCGACCGTATCAGTTATTTCTTAACTATACAATACATTGACATTTGACAGTTTGTAGTACCTATGGAAGAATTGTTAAATATTCAAAGTTATTACTCAGATAAAATGTATCGGGCGTTGGAAAAATCGGCCTTAAGAAATACAATTCTGTTGTGTACTTTGTAGTGGATAACTAAGCAGGTACATTTGTAAATAACCCACGAAAATTATAGTAATGGGCCTAACTACATAAGCAACTGTTGCATTTGGCTGATAGTTACGATGCAACAGTTGCCTAAGCCTAGGTATAGGTACATGGTAGGTTATAGGTAGATTAGATAAGTACTAAGTAGGTACTTACCTTACCTCATCTGCATGTAGAATAATCAGTTTTAAAATGCAGTGCATCTTGTAACCTATACATATACCCATTTTTAGGTAACTTCTTCTAGGTAAATCAACTGATGACCTACCTAAAGACCTACCTGATAGACAACCAGAAAGGATATTATTCTAATGTATGTTTTAATAAATAAATAATATTTTATCATTTTACAAAACATCCATATAGGTAACTAGTTATTTTGAGTTTTGTCGTAATTATGCGTCTACACGCCTTCGTACCTATAAACTACCCTCATTTTAACCACATTATAAATGAGGTATTTTGTTACTAGGTAGTTAAGTGTGTTACGTAAAGGAGACCATTAATTCGACGCCATACATGTTTGGGCCTTTTCTACAGGAAAGTACAAGTCAACGAAAAAAAAATGGTAAGTTTCGTTAGAATTAGCTATTTGGAACACTTTCAGAAACGGCCCAAAAATATGATCTCCCTAACAAACAACGACTATTGACATGATTATGTCAATGTAACTCTACAAGAGAGCTGCGTCCAACAAGTGAATCACCACCATCGACCACTGGCCAGCACAATCCGCACATGGTCTTTGTCTGCTTGCATGACTGTACCGTCAACTAAGAAAATAAAATAAATTTAGATAGACGGGCGCCGCGCCCGTCGCTTCGTGTTTATGTTTATCTTGTTTACACGCCAGCGTCGCCAGCGGAATCACATTGCGCGCGCTTCTTTGTATTTTCCAGCCTATAATATAGTTTTCAAGTAATCATCCCTTAAATTTTCATCCTTACATAATTTCCTTACGTAACGACCGCGTGGTGAGGATAATACCTGCGTCCCTCACTCCGCTAGGAACGAACGTTCGGCCACAATTACGTAACCACAATAATAATTATTAATTTGGTTCGAAGTATATTATCGAATTTATATTAGCGTAGGTAGATTAAAATTAAAAAAAAGATAAAATATGACTTACCTCTTCTATTTCCCGGATCGGAGTCAAGTAGTGACCCATCCGCCGATTAGGTCGCATAACTTTTTAAGTTTAAACGATAACTATATTAATAAATAAAAAAACTAAAAGCACAGTGATAATATTCCGGATGACCACTATCCTCAATGGAAACTTAAAAAATTGATTAAAGAATATTATTGTCATTTAATCAACACTCGAGCTGGTAAGCAAAGAGTACCATAAAATACTAAGAAATTCCGATGAATCCGCTCAGATTCTCAAGTTTATTGCGATAAAGTACGACGATCACGACCGGCGCCGGTGTGTAGTTGACCGATGTAGACGAACAGAGAACGGACGGACTACAAACGGAGAATGACGAGTATGATGACGAGTAGCGAGTGAGCAACAGCAACGAAAACGAATGTACCTTAGTACTATTACTAAACTCTTTGAACGAGTGAGTGAGTCTTGAAGGAGCGAACCCAAGCGTGGACCACAGACTACATAGTACTATTTCAGTGATTCATGCAGGTTTAGTTATTTTGTAACCTTATTTTGTAACTCTAAGATTTCAGGATTTTTTACTAGTTTGAAAAAAATATAAAATATTTAATGAAATATGAATGTATGAAGAAGTCATTATATATACATATTGTGATATTTCAATTTCAAGAGCGACATCTACAGTTATAACAGTTATATTAACGAGCGACAGAAAATTTAGAGTCGAATGCATTTAGTTTACCATAATTTGGTACTTTTAAAACGTCAACAGTAAAATTATTCTAATTGTGAAAACAAATGAAATGAACACTGACTAACACTGACTGACGACCAAAGGGTATCGCCCTTCTGCCCCTGCGCCGCCGCGCGCTGACTATCGATAGTCAGGGGTAAAAAGATGTGTGTGATGTGTTACCCTATGTATTACTCCAGACCATAATCTACCTCTAAAATGTCTGAATAACTTTTTTTTTTAGGAGTTCAATGTAAAAGTGGGAATCAGAGAAATGGTTTTGACACGACACTAAAAAACGTAAGAATATTCACTGTCCATAACAAATTAATATTGAGCCAGAATTATTATGGGCATCTGACATTGTTCTTTCATCTGGTCTCTTCAGCCGTTTTGGGATCAGGATATTAAAGTATAATACTAAATCATTCATTACCACGTCATTACACAAGAAACACAATTCGATTAAAAAATCTCGTAAATCAACAGATTGATTAGTTTATCCTACGATCTACTACCATGTATTTTGTAATGGCGGATTAGCCACAAGTGCCACAACAGATAATTTAGTGACGTCATTCAATTATCGACAGAATGAAAATGTTAGGTTGTTTCTCTCTTTCTTTATCAAGGAAACTAGGGTAAAACAAAATTGCAGTATTTTTATTAATATACCGTCGATATTCATCTCAAATTCTGCCCATAGGCAATAATTTCTCATCCATTTGGTTCATATATCAATCGTTGTCTCCATGTCACATACACAAATCACCAATACCCAGTCATAGACACAATAAAAAAGTTACTGTTATCTATTACTGTTCGTGCAAGTGCGAATGTGAATCCATCAATGTACGTACAGTGAACTCGCCTTGTTTTTTTGATAAGTTGCTCATTTTATCCAATAATTTCGTAAAAGCGTTCATTGTTAATGTGGTAACGTGTTAAAATACATAAAATTTACTAATTTCGGGTGCGTAATGTGATGGGCACGAATCGTATTTGTGTTTAGTTTAATCCGACAACAAATCTGACGCATTGATACACAGTGGTCATTTTCCAATTACCTATTCACAGAAACGCATCGTACATTTGTTGTATCTTGATGATACCAATCGGAAGATTGTGTTGGTATTGATAGACGTTCGTGATTAATGTATGAAATAATTCAGAAGTATTATGTGATTTCAGTCGGCACGCTACCGTATCGCCCACTGTGTCAGGTGGCTGATTTCACCATTGCGATGATAAGTACCTAAAGATTGATTGGACTTCAGTGTTGACTCCAAATATAAGTGCCAGCACCATGGACGACGACGGTGATGATAAGGATGATACAAAAAGGTATGTGCACCATTTCATCTGAGTATACACTTGAAAAGAATTGATATATAGACATAGAACCATACACATTTCACACTATTCCGAAACCTGAAAAATTAAGAAAATTAAACAATAAAACTCAGTAAAAATCATGACATGTTTGCTTAAATGCAACTAGAAGACCTTTTATTTAATTGATTGATTGTTTTGGATAGGAGGACTCGCAACTTGAGTGAGAAGAAGCGGAGAGACCAATTCAATATGCTGGTTAATGAGCTCAGTGCTATGGTCTCAACAAACAACAGGAAGATGGATAAATCAACAGTCCTCAAGTCTACTATATCATTTTTGAAGAACCATAATGGTACGTGACATATTATTATTGTACTGCTATCAACTTATGAAAAACTAAAATTCGTACTGCTATGAACTTATGAAAAACGAAATATGTGTAAAGGATCATAAAATCATATGATATCATACATTAAAATATTCTTTCCTCCTTCCTAAAAGATTCCTAATAAGAAGTATATTTTGCGGTGAATATTTGTGACAACTTTTCTAATTATTTCACTTTGTTGCAAACGGTTGTTCATATCTAAATAGCTGTAGATCAAATTTGTGGTGATTCCGTAAGGGCAACGCGTGTCACTTGTAATTATGGCATGTCTCAGAACTTACAATTGATAAAGGAAATATATCAAGTTTAGAGGCTGTTGTTATATACTTACTGTTTCATCCTAGAATTTTTAACTCACACAAGGTGGTGGAGGCTACACAGAGAGTAGAATGTTGCCTACTGCTACAGGATTTGAATATAGGATAGGATTAGATAGACTATATAATTTTATAGAATAGAGAAATTACCAAGTTGTCACACACCAAACACGAGGAGTGATGGAGCTTTAAATATCACACTACTAGAAATATGTAGATAGACAACCCAAATTAAGAAAAATTATGCAAACATTTTATTTATGTATTTATTTATTTGAATAGAACTGTAGAAATACCAATTGCACTACTAAATACACATACAATTAAAAGAAAAAATAAATACAAAATTTAAATACTATGTAGGATATATAGTATATAGGGATTCCAGGTCTTATCTTAAATGGGTGTTTAACAATTGCATCTGCATCAAATATCAAAGGTTGCTAAAGTGTTTTGTGTTATACAAATTTAAATTAGCTGAAGTAGGTAAAATCATTTTAAGAGTATGAAGATGAATGATCTATGAAGATGTAATGACAAAGTTTGATAGAAATACAGAATTATCATAGACAATGTGACCAGACTTCCCGTTTTGAACGGAACAGGCCCTTTTTATAATTACAATTCCCGTTGTCCCCGAAATGGACTTGGGGATGCAAAATTATCCGGTTTTCAAAATATTAAGAATATTACATATGTGATTATTTTCAGCGTTACAATAACTCAATTTTTGTGCAGTTAGTAATGTTAACATTATTGTTTCGATGCACAAAGTTTTGTGCTTACATTGGGTATGGGTCTGTAATAGGACGTAGCTAACAGATGCCTGACTGAATGTAAATGTCCCATTTTGAGTAAAAATAATGGTCCATCATAGAATGTTGCATAAAAATTAATATTTTCAAAATTTTTAAATGATAACTTTGTTTTAGAAATAACTGTCCGATCAAGAGCTCACGATGTTCAAGAAGATTGGAAACCAGCATTCTTGTCAAATGAAGAGTTTACATATTTAGTATTGGAGGCATTGGAGGGCTTTGTAATGGTTTTCTCAGCTACTGGTCAAATTTACTATGTATCTGAAAGCATCACATCATTACTGGGCCACAACCCAGTAAGTTTCTCTTTTATGTATTACTGTAGATATTTTATACAGCGTATATGTAGTATTTAGAAACTTAGGTCTAGATATTTAGTTTTCTGAACTCTGTTATGCTAAGGTATGTGGTTAGTGAAATGTTTTTTATTGGATGTACATTGAAGAGTAAATAATTAACCTGTTTCTCTACTTGTAGGCCGATGTCGTGAACAAAAGCATATTTGATCTGGCTTGTGAAGATGATCGGCCCAGCTTGTACAATTTGTTACAAAATCCTGGAAGTGCAACTGACCCAATGCATGCTGTTGGTAAAGGTATGTAAAACTTTGTTTTTTATTAATTAAATTTTTCCAATTAATATTAATTATTCCTTATTGATAATAAATAATGCCAGTCTTCAGTCTACACCCACCTTTTGAAATGATCGACTATTTTACCGAAAGCTATAATAGCTAATTAGTTTTGTTGTGACTATAAATTTTATATACAAATTAAAATAGTTACCTAACATCTTTCGTTCGTTCTATTTTTACATCAAGCTAGTTACTTGTACTGCAATGTAACTGTTCTATTGTGCATTCGTTAGAACATGCGTTATTTATAAATAAACGTGCCTGTAGAGATCTCATCTAAAGGTCTATCCTCACAGATCTAGGTCGATGCCCGGGCGCGACCGGAAAACTACTTGCTGACGATTTGAATCTTATTCACATATTGTTATGTTAGATATTGGTACTACGCTCTGTGTACGTTAGTGACTTATATATCGAAGGGACGTTGTCACTTGCATTATATTGAATGTGTTATTGTAAACAATTATGAAACAAAATATGACATTTTGCTTTGCGTAACTTTATAATGTGTACCTTTGGCAAATTGCGATGGATATTGTAAATTAAACAATGATTGTGCGCTCATAACCTTAACAGTTTCAAATGCAACATGTATTACGTTTATCATAATTATTATACAGTACTGTATAGTGATATACTATATTACATACAGTACTTATTATGAACGGTACCATGTAAAGATACAGTAGTGTATACATCATTGTAAGAAATACAATATGCTGATGGAATCAATACTGCTTATTGCATGTGATATACCTTTGACCAATACTGAAAATGCTTTGCTATTATTTAAACATGTAAATTATGATATCACATGGAAAAAATGAGAAAGATTTGCTTGCAATTTATTAAAAAACGCTAATTATTATTATGTTTTATCAATGCAGCTATAGCCTTTATTTGCAAAGCGAAAATAGTTAAGCGAATGCGCGTAAGCTAATAGGTACTATGCTAGCTACTAACTCTACTTCAGTAATTTTATTTAAACAATATGACCTCTACATCAGTAGGCGCTACAAATTTTATACAGACTTATACTGTGATCTAGTGTCATTTTCTTAGTAGTTTTAAATAAGACTTTCAAATTAATTTAAAAGTTTCCATCAATGGTATAGAGCTGGCGATAACGACCTGTCGAGAAAATATGCTCGTCAGGTTTTTTAATTCAAACCAAAAAAAGTAAACAATCACCTGTCATATATAATCGTTTAATAATTTAGTCAATGAATGTAATCCTATCCTGTAGGTATATCTTATTACTAACAATTATGTATGTTGATGCCTATCATATTGCAAGGAAAATTTTAGTGTAATTATATTGATTAAAATAATTATGTAGATTTTTTATCGGTTTATAAATGAATACATGTAAAGGAATCTATACACGCTGATCATCCACTAAGGATTCCTTATCCAGAATAACAGTTAATCTCAAAATAGGTTTCACTTGGTTTATTTACAAAGCTACAATAAATCAGAACTCTGAACAGTATGACGGGTTGAAAAGGTCCAGAACGCAGTGACGATATTTATACTCTGGCGAGTTATTTTTTAAATATATTTTTCTCGTAATAACCATTTTGTTAATGAAATAGTACTTACAACATAAAGTATACTACGAGAGTAAAATTGATATAGGCATTACATATTAATTAACATGAAGCATAATGATTACAACTGCGACAGCTTTTTGATGTAAAACAGGGGCATAGCTAGCGCCGTATCTGTCGTATTAATTATACGGGGCCCCCGGCCTACGGGGCCCCCGCCAAGCCGCGCCACGCCACTGATGTAAAACGCATAGCCTCGCAAATGCGAACGTCTTGCGACATTTTACTGTAGGTCTGTTATAATTTTCCTCTGTATTTTGTATGTTTTGCAATAACTATGTCTATGTACTCAAAAGATATAAGTGATTACATCGACTAGTGAATTTCGCAAGGACGCGCATTGCAATCAAAATTTTCTTTGTTTTAGAAAACGAAATCCGCTTCCAGTGTCATCTAAAAAGAGGATCTTTGGATTTTAGAGATGAAACCACTTACGAACTTATACAATTCAATGGTCACTTCCGTAAGTATTACATACTCAATTAATTATGTAGAGTAATACGTAATAGGCTGAGTCTTTCAAACAATTCACGTGACAGTTATGTAACAGCCAATACTTAAGAAAAAATGGAACTCATAACCACTGAAAAGCCCCAAAAACTTAACTTCTTTTGAATCGAAAATATTACACAACTGTTTTTTCTCCCGCACCTCTATTCAGATTCGCCTCCTCGGAGCTTTTTATTGTTCATGTTCTTTGGAAGTAGTATTACAAATCATTTGTTCTTACTATTACTATATTAGTGTGGTACAATCCCTATTGCTTAGTACCTATGTAAATTAATGTGTAAATCTATCTTTTGTTTTTCCTACAATGAGTAATCGGTCTTGCCACACCAATCGATTGATCCTCGCTCGATCGGTCGGTGTTGATTGATTGGTGTAGAAGCTTTAATTGATCGGCGGATTCCTATTGACTACCCAATCGATTGGTTGCCGGTCGATGGCATCGGTCGACGTTGATTGGACGGGCAGTGGGGAGCTCAAGCAGCTCGATCGATATTGACTCATCCATTCTACGATCGGTCGATAGTAGCTTGTTCCTCGATCGACAGGTCTGGTAGAAAATGTCGATCGACGTCGATTATGCCATCGATCAATGGTATCAATTGACGATCGATCGACTGCTGTGGTGGTAACCCTTATAACTAAATAGTAAAATAAATAAAGTAATCTGATTCACGCTTATGAACTTTTTAAATAATTATCTGGCTGATTATAGATCGCATATTGATTGACTACTTTTGGGTCATGTCTTCTAATAACACGCAAGGAGTGATAGTCACTAGTTATAAATTTGCTTTCCCTATTAAAATTGTCAAGAATAAGTTTCCGTCGTGTTCTGGATAGTACTTGACTAATTGTAATTACAGTATCAAATGATTTGTAAGTTTAGGAACATAAACATCGATTCTTTCTTCTGTTGAGCTGTCAACTGTCATCCATATTAAGAGTTTTATGACATCTTCTTCATTATGTACACACTCCGAATTACATAATAATTTAAATTTCCGAATTTACACATTTTTAGGAACAAATATGGAGCCACTCGATAGTGATGATATGCCGAGTTACAATCCGGACCATGAGTCAAGGTAAATATTAAATAATAATTATTTCTGAACTTTCCTAATGTCAATTAGTGTAATGTTTCGATACAATGAATCCTATAAGTAAAAATGGTTTGTATAATGTTGCCTTCTTGTGTGGTTACCAGGTTACTCTTCGTTTGCACGGGCCGGTTGTACACTCCTCAACTGATCCGTGATGTGTCACTGGTAGACTCCAGTCGCAGCGAGTTCACTTCGCGACACAGTCTTGAATGGAAATTCCTGTTTCTGGACCACCGTGCACCGCCTATCATTGGATATTTACCATTCGAAGTACTTGGCACCTCGGGCTACGATTATTATCACTTTGATGACTTAGAAAAAGTAGTCACATGTCATGAAGCTTGTAAGTTTTATTTATTATATCTTCAAGTAAATTACTACGTAAATAAAAAATAAACAATTTTCGTTATTTTTAAAGTACTTAGAGAAATCGTTACAATGGGGTAGATGGCTTTTTATTTTAATGTCCGTCTGGTAGATTATTTTAAAACTTTACACACGTATTCTTTATTTTTTTACAGAAACGAGTACCTTCGACGATATGATTTGAAATGTCGCTTGACGTCACTTCTATGTACATTTTATACGTAGAAATGACGATTTAGACCCCACACCTAAACTTTGATTCGTTTTATCTAAATAACATTTTATTATACGACAAAATAAAAAAAAACGTGTCTAATATTTTTTTATTACCTAACTGACGGACTAATTAGATTTTTAATTTTCATACCCTGTCATCGGCCCTATTGCTAACAACGTTTTTATTATTACAGTGATGCAAAAAGGTGAATTAACGTCGTGCTACTACAGGTTCTTAACAAAAGGGCAGCAGTGGATTTGGCTTCAAACTCGCTTTTATATCACGTACCACCAATGGAACTCAAAACCAGAGTTTGTAGTTTGCACTCATCGAGTCGTAAGGTGTGTGTCAGTTTAAAAATAATTATATTTCTATACAGGGTGACTGAATCTGAAACCGCCATAGCAAATTCGCTAATAGACGAGGTAATTTGCTTATTATCATGAAACTTCATTTTCAATAGCTAAAGCTTATACATATCGACTAGTCCTGATCAAGTCACCTTGTATATGCATGTTTTAAAGATCACTTATTTTCAGTTGTAATTTAGTACCCCATTTGATGGTGATTTTTGCACTACTTACCTACTGTTACATCTCATCGACGCATTTGCGATACTTACTAAAATCTATAAAAATAAAATTAAAATAAACTTGCATTTTGTAATACACGGCCACATTAAATAAAACTTTATAATAAAATATATTGATTGAAAACTTACAAATATGAAAATATGGCAAATAATTCACCACTTTAATATGACGAAGTATATGACACGTGCCGTTGAATATGAAGCAACTTTTTGTTTGGATTTTGCCATGTATAATGCAAAGCGTTGTAACAAAGACGTCACACCTATGAATTTTGATGCCCGTTTGTGGGTTATTTCGAACATCGATGCTAAATTCCTATTCAGGAAGTGATGTTACTGATAAAGGGGTAAATTACATGCTTTATGTTCGAGTCTTTTAGCTTCCAAATATAGTCAGGAGATCAAAAATTTGAATACAAAATTAGATAGACGGATGTTTACATGCCTTTCACATTATCGTGTAAACATACAACAGAAATGTTCAATAGAAATGATTTCGAGCCTTCTGCTCCTACGCGTGCTTAGGTTTTGGTCTGCTGCACAGTATTTTGTATAGAGTTTCGCAATGTAAATGACACCCCCATTTTTCTCACACTTAGGTTTAGTTTTATTTCATAAGGAAACTATAATTCATTATTCAATTCTTGTTTTGTGTTTATTTTGATTTGTGGAAATATACTGACGTCTTAGTACCCGAACAAAGTTAATGTACCTACATAATATCTTTTTAATAAATTAAAGCAAAATATACATGGAATATTATAAAAAGCTTGTGTACAACACCGAAAGATTAAGGTTTTATACACATAGCAAACCTGATGGTAGGTAAGTAATCGGGGCTATCCATAGCCATCCCGTAATACCGGGGCAGTTACGGGTGCGGTGCCGGTCTGTTAGATTAAAGATATATATGTAATATGTAGGATAATACAGGAGCAAATAACGCACAATTTTGATTTATCTAAAACAGAAAATTTATTGTTAACATCAATTGAAACACAAATCAATTAGATCAAACATGTAGGTACACATTACCAATACCAACCTAAAACAGAAAAATCGACAATTAAAGGTTTTTACTTCCAATAATTCAGTAGATCGACACTGTATTACATTAATCAGTTGAACCAGCACTTTAACTTTTCTTCTATGAAACTTGAAACAATTAGAAAATATTACAATCATAAATCTACCCGAGGTTTTGCATTCTATCAAAAAAAAGCGCGGGCTGCTGTCCGCTGTCACTGTCCCACTATGTGTCAAACGTCATTATTGTTAGGCGACGAACACAAGGCTGGTAATAAGGCTGTGCACACACATTATACAAAGCATCTTACATC